ACCAACCGTGAATTTGTTGACAAAATTGTTTCTATTCTGTGATTATTAAACAAATACTATAGAAATAATGTAAAAATCTAACTTGTACGTTAAATTCTTGTTTGTGTGCATTTCATGAACTAGTTGACATCGATTACGGTGATCTTGTGTGTGTTTCCGTGACATATAGCAATCAATGATCGTGTCTAAAAACGCTTTTTCACTTTTTTCTTTAAAATAAAATTTAAGGAGTTTTCACACTGTTTAATTTCTCTTAATTGTAGTTGGCAGAAAATCATGGATCTAAGTTCCGAACTAGTTTTCACTCGGTGGCAAGGTTTACTTAAACTTTTAAAGAAACAGATATTGCTTAGTGGATTCGAAACTAGGTTATCATTTATTTTAGCAAGAATATTTATTTATTTACTTCAACACATAGATATTGGTACAAAGAGGCACCAAATACATATACACCACACAAATCTCATTCGACATGTGTGAGGGCTGTGATAGTGCCCGGGTGCCCAAACCGAAGCAAGTGGTTTTCTTAGGGAGCCACTCCCCGAGCCTTCGACCTGAAGGTCTGATCCACAAGGCAGTAAAGCATCGTAAGGAGATCCAGTCACACGGAAGCCGGTGACCAACAATTGGTTCATTCGCCATTTGTTCCCGCAGGATACTGGAGCCCATGTGTACCATTGGTTTGGAATCTGGTTAAAGCGCCGGACATTCGCTTTTCATCCTCTCGATTTCGTAAACAACACCCGTGGTACGAGAAGGCAGTGAGTAGGACTTCCCTGGCAGAGGCTATATACGCGTGACTATGTGAGAGCATTTCGAAAGGGAGAGCAGACTCTCACCACTCTCGGCTGTACCAGGGCATTTGGGGGCAAGGATAAACCCACATTTGCGTTTGATAAAACGTTTGGAATCGATGTTATCTGTTTTCTTACTATTCTACATCAGCGTGCCTCAATAGATATGCTTGTTATGAACATGTCACGCTTATTCTCCAATTAAATTTCGGGTCACAATGTATTACCGGTCAATCATAGTCAACACAGAGCCTGGCGTATGTGTGTTTTAGTGCATGTTCCCGTATCACATCAGGTCGAAGAGGTGAGATTAGCAAACCAGTCAAAATAATATAATAGCAATTGTAGTAGAAAAAATTGGATTTTGACAGTATGTTTCGAAGTGACAGGATTAAAAAGTGTGTGAAAGAATTCTGGACCTCAAGATATAGGGCAAGATAAAGAGTGAAGTTATCATGCCACTATAATCTATCCTAAGCTACATTACTCAGTGTATAAAGACACTGACCACAACCCGGTAGTCTTCACCTATGTACATGGCTCAAACAAATGAATTCATCGACTGACACTAAGTCTTATTTTAACACCCCCCCTCTAGTTTTCTTTGAACCTGCACATATATTGGCCAGCATTGCATCTTGAGGCAGGCAACAGTTGTACATACATAACACCCCAGTCAATGAAGATTCACAGCCTCCATCTTTGCTAGAATTTTATGTCGAACCTCAAGATTGCTCACTCAGTCATTCTGCAATTGGTGAGCAATCATTGGAAAACACTCATAATCAAGTACCCACAGCTTAACTGTGTTTATTACTTCCATAGACCATGTTTTGAACGATAAAGTATAACAGAGCAAATCGCTGTGCCGAATACTCCCCTTCTGGTTGGGAAACAAACATCTCACCTATGCTACAAGTAGTGTTATTTGACATAGCCAACCAAACTTTTTGAACTCATACAACATTTATAATAAAGCGTGTTATTAGATAACTAATTTACCGATGAAATAGAGATCTCTGTTAATTTCAAACACACCCAGACTTTTAAAATTATATGAGCACAGTGATGCCCAGATTAACTTTAGGTAAACTACAGTAAGATTATTTTTCATATGTTCAATAGTCAGATTTCTTTGTATTGTCTTAAAAATAATAGGCATAAAATCATGTGTTGAAAACCTGAAATCAGTTTATCTTACATTAGCTATGCTGGATGGATTTTGTTCAGTTGCAAAAGCTGTTGAATTAAGTCAAATAGAAATGTTATTTCAGGTTAGTTTTAATCACATTACATCACTATAAAGTTTCAGTATTCAAATATCTAACTATATATATATATATGGGTTAACTCCACGTTTTCGTACCACATTAGGATGACGAGATGAAACTAACAAAACATGTAACAAAAGAGATTCGAATGTTGAAAGAGATTCAGCATTGAGAACATGGTATGAAAAGACAGTGGAAATAAAGAAATTTAAGGTTGATAAGTTAAAGCATCCGCACTATTGTGGACAATTCTGAGTCATGTCAACCAAAGTTTCCAACCCTCTAATCGTGGTTATTACGCTAATTCCATCCAGGTAATCTGCATCTACTTATATGGCTGTGAAATATAGTCAATGACTTCATGGAATGATGCCAAGTCTTGGTTTGAGCGTCATTTGCTTTCTTAAAGTCTGCTCCTACATGAGACGACATTGTAATGTCATATGTAACACATATCTCGGTTAATGAAGATTCATAATTTTATCGGCAAGTTTGCTACCTATGCGTAGCATCAATATTCCTTACTAGGTGGTTTCACGAAGTGCAGACAACCCTTTGAGAACATCTATGATTAAAAACCGGGTATTCCGTATATATTTTCTTCACAGCCATAAAGTATAACGGGTCAAACTGTTGCGCAGTACATATGCCATTTGATTGTTAGACAAACATTTCATTTACGCCACAAGTTTGTAGGGGTAACTGCGCTTTCTAAATCCGTGTCAGTATTTCGTCAGATATCAACCCACTAGGGCTGATGAGATTTCCAAGCAAAGTGAAACATTCAACAACTTCATTTCATATTATTAGTTCAGGAGATGACCCATACCAGTTCTTAAGTAACATTTTGCATTTCCACATAATAATCTGGCTAGCAACGCCTAGCATCCACACTCTACGCTAAATCCAATTATTCATCACTACCAGCTAATTTATTGTATTGTAAATGCAGGATGCTAAATTTATTTATGAGATTTCAGGATATTTATTCACTTAGATTGTTAGGACATGTATACTACTACTATGCTGAACCACCGCCTACCTCAACGTGATGGTTTGCTGGTATAAGAATGGATTAAAAGAAAGTTAGTCATCCAAACCAATAATTGGCATCAGTCTATCAAGTCATTGACAGCTGGTTCGATTCATATTGATACGTACAGATTACCTGATCAGAATTCGCTAAATTATCTTAACAATAGGTTGAGAATGTGTGATATGGCTGAAAATTTATTACATGGCACAGATAAATTCACTCTTCATACTTTCTTAGATCTTCAGTCCAAGCATTCCCTCATACGTACTTTCTCACTTCATATTCTCAGCTTGTAATCCTCCTCACTGTCATTAGCACTGCAATTATTTCGGCTGCTTTGTTATCTTTATATTGTAAATTGAATCTCATCGTCCTGATGTGATATGAGACTCTGTGCTAACTGTGGATTACTCCATTGATATGCCGTGCGCTAAGCTACTATTCCGACAATGCGACTTCATTGTAGTGAACGAGATAACTATCATCTTCCCCTCTGCTCTAATTGGAGTGAAAAGTCCCGTCTCATAATCCAAGCTTTATTGGTCCAGAACCCAAAGGGAATAAAAAATACATTTAAGTTTATCAGTTTTATATTGAATACGGTTATTAAACTGTATAGACTGAGTAATTATCATAGAACATAAATTACAGTAAAAATGGTTTGAAGATCCACAGAGAATGTATCGTCAGCTAACCTTACATTCATCTCAAAACGATATTGGTTTTTTCCCAAGTTGTACATGGAGATTCCGTATTCTTAATACTAATTAGTTCAATCTGAGCAACAATGCCTTGGATTCAAATTATAGATAAGATTTGACTATTCATAATATGTAAGAAAAATTGTATGCTGAAGTCTAAATGTTGTAAAGAGGAACTCCTATACTATGATCCACGTTTTAATCTGGCGCTTATCTTTAAACTAAGACTAATCAATGCACACTGCAATACTCATTCTTTCAACCTATCAAGTTTTAGTCAACTAGTTTATATTTCATTAAGAAGACTTCGACTAATAATCTTATATATCACAATTGATTGATCACTGGGTTGCGATCAATATTATGTGTGCCTAGTCCTTATTGGTGCAGATCGAATGCTATCGATCATGTTGCAATGCGACCACCGGTCTAGGTGACTCGACACTGCGGGCACTATATATTGAGATATATAGCATTCGATCTGCATTAATAAGGACTAGACACACATGACATTGATCACCACCCAGTGATCAATCAATTGTGATTACATCTCAGTCCTACGGGAGGTCATTCGCGGCTCGGATAGCTCAGTGGTAACGTCTCTGACTGTGAAGCTGGGTGACGAGATCGAATCCGCCAGGGAGCATCAGTTCCCTCAAGATTACAGGTACACCTTGCTGACGAGAGCCAAGTAGCACGAAACTCGGGTTCATGGTTTCCTGTCGACTACCTCCAATCACCATCTAATCTCAATCTTATATATCTACAGCTTGTACATATATACCAAGTCATTTTTATTCATCTTCAAGTGAATATTATTGATTTGTATTGTTTTTTTTGTTTTATCTTAGGTTAATCGTTGGGGAGATGTTCCTTCTTATCATGATGTTGAAAATGCTGATCTTAATGCACGTGTATCTGCTGCTCTATTTTTAGCTTTACTCAGTCATTATCGACATGATATAAAAATAAAAACAAGTATAAAATAAATCTGATATAAATATTCATTGAGTTTTGTTTTGTTTTTGTTGTTGAGAAGAATAAAGAAAATTAAACATAATTACAATTATCATTAACATTTCCTTTTATACACACACACAATCAATGGTGGATAAATACTTGGAAACGACTTTGTTAGTAGTGGTGGTGAGTTTTTGCTTGATATATTGTAGTTTTGATTGTTGAAGTAATATGATACCTAACGTTCATTCTCTCCTGAAACTGCTTCATTCAATGCTTCTGTTTGTTTATTAAGTAATGCTCTACGATCAACAAAACCAAATCTTCCTTTTCCAAAAGAATTGGGACCGCAAGATGTGGGAGTGTACCTAAAAAAATAAATAAATAAAGATCAGTTTATTATAGCATTTAAAATCTAATTAAGTTTGTATTATCATATCCTATGTTTATCAAGAGTTTTATAAGTTATTTCCATTAAAAAAGTAATCCTATATGTTGATTCCCATCAGTCAGTAGTGTCATCAATACAATCATAGGTGTTTTATATAGCTACAATTCATATATTGTAAAGTTCCGACAGTTGAGATCATGAGTCAAATGAAGCTAGACCACCATGGGAGCACTGGACGACCGTTTCGTCCTATTGTTGGACTCCTCAGCGGCGCGCATTCACGACCCCGCCTCGCGGGAATCAAACTCAGGACCTATCGGTCCCGCGCAATGGCCAGTGGGGTTCAACCGGGTCAGTTGTGAAGTAGTAACTCACTGATGACAATGGTGGGTGTGCTCCTCAATCTCGTGGATTAGTTGAAGTTAGACATTAACACCGCTGGATGCCAGCTCAGTGGTCGAGTTGGTTAAGCACCTGGCGCGAGACCGATAGGTCCTGCGTTTGAATCCCTCGAGGCGAGGTCGTGGATGCGCGCTGCTGAGGAGTCCCACAATAGGACGAAATGGCCGTCCAGGTTTTCCATGGTGGTCCAGCTTCAACTGACTCATGATCTCAAGTGTTGGAATTACTACAATCTCCACATAACCCCTTCTGATATTACTTCGGTTAGATTAAGTGAGATTGTGTTAAATAAGCAAAGTGAGTTGATCCTCAAGGAAAACAAATAAGATAAATATCGATATGTAAAATTTAAACTCAACATTTCCAGTTGAAGTAGATTTAAAGTGAACTACATTATTTGGTCTCTAAGACTTATCATTTCACACTACTTTTGACTAGATACAATCTACTGTACGCTTTGAACTGATTTGCTACACAGTTTTCGACAACTGAAGCAAGTAACATTGTTCAAAGTAACTTTAACGCATGAACAATGAAAATTGCCTAGGTTCAGGCAGATCAGAATTCCGCTGTTTAGTTTTGGTAGTAAAATAACAAGTTATATGAAATATCAAATTGTCTATTGAAATCTCACATGGTAATTATATTTTTTCAGGCAATAAACTATACTATCCAACAGTTTAAAGTATATTATACCGGCAACATTTACTCTGTAATGATGTTTGAGCTACCACATAGCTTTGATTTATGTTAATTGAATTAATTTCATCGATGATTTTTGAAAGTTGTGCAACCAACCTAAACGTCAAAGATTATGTTGGGAAAAGCTGAGAGATCAAACTACACTATTCAGTTGTAGATATTAAAAATTTCTGACGTTGACAAACTTAGACGCTATTACCTTACATAACAGTACTTATTTGATAGTTTGTTTTACAATTGTCAATTGTGCGCATATAATTAGGCTTTGTTGGTACCGAAAAAAAAACCATTACAAGACAAATTGCTAACTGTCGGTTTCGCTTGAAAGAATTTTTTCAATGAGCCACTCAAAATGAGCACATACTTGGACCTACATAGGCGTTTGTTAATATCTCGAGCTTATATTTTACCGGAAAATTGCTACCTAATGTTAACAAGTGAATGATTCTCTTTTACCTGTATGTTTTTGTATTCTCGATATGTACTCGTAGGTGTCATAGATGTTTTGTGTTTAATCCAATCCTATTATTTTTATATTCATACATAATCATCTGTAAAGTAGGGAAATCGAGCGAAATCTACAATCCTTGGCGTAGAGTTCGTTAATTATTACATATCTTTTTCTAAACTTATAGTCTAGTATTGCAACTTGATCATGAAAAAAACTCAAACGAATGAAATAAAGTTAAGAATTCAAAATCGGTTGAAACATTCCAATGAATCTAGATAAGTTAAGAAACTTGAACAATGAAATTAAAACTGGCGGTGAGACTATATTATATGAACGAGCCAATCAGGTGTAAGATGGCAGGTCTCGGATTTTGGCGCGAAATCCACTCACCCATTTGGAAAAAAAGAGTTTTGGCATTATAGCTGATGTCAGTTCGTGATGAAAACCTTAAATATAATTCTTAACCTTAACCACCAATCATAAATCAGCCAAACACCAGTCTTCTGACGTTTGCTGAAGCCGTTGCTATCAAGCGTCAATAGCCTGATTTATGTGTTCGAAAGGTGATGGTTGCTAATCTCTCCTTGTCTTGGTGGCAAATATCTCTTTGTTGCATCTTAAACTTTTTTAAAAACTCTTCCTTGCATTCATTACATTATTTGGTTTTTTACTTCAACTAACTTCCAGATTAGTAATCTTATTAACGTAGCTTTACTCGTTTTATTCCCATCAGCGTTTACTCATTGCGTAATCACTTGTTTCTGGCCTTTTGAACTGTTGTCACAATAAATATTGTAAAAGTTTCTTTTACATAAGGTATGTGTTTCCGATATTCAGTCTATTAAATTTATTCACACACTTCCTATACTATAACTGATGTGTCTTTAAAATGACTTACAAATAAAATCTCTCACGTAAGTAATTTAAACCAATTTTGTAATTATAGCTTTCAAATATCACAGGTTGTAAGCAGCTGATGAGAACCAACGAAATAAAATGAGTTCGTGTTATTCGGCTACAATCTTTGTTCTTACTCTTTTCAAAATTAGAAAGGGAACTATGTGTATAAAAATACTCTTAACTGTTGGCAACTCTCGTTTAAAGTTGTCTGAACTTTCTTATTTTACTGAGTATTACTTAGGTATGTCATGAACAGCTTGAATTTTTAACCAGAAAAGCTTGCTCAAATGTGTATGTACTGTGTTCAAAGAGAACTGTTCTTTGTTATGAGCTGAATTAAAATCCTAGCTGTATGTTTTTGTGACCATTAAGTTTGAAGCCCGATGATTGTTTTCCATTATTTTCCGTAACTACTAGGCAACTTACTTGATCGACCATAAGACAAGAGTAACCAATGAGTCACATAACTTAATTATCTGCTTTAGTATTAGTCTGGTTTTCGCTTTATCCTTCAAGAGTTCCAACCTATTTTCACGAAATTACAACAATGACTACTTTACAGGCGAAAATTTGGGTGAAAGGAAACATTTATTACGGGTTCATAATTTATTCTTATAAACTGGGACAATTGAACATTCAAATTTGAAATTTGTATTGACGCAGTACCTTATTTCTAGGCAGGAGCCAACGATAAATATGAACAGATAGTTTCTGACTATCATTGTCGTTGCATTTTGTTTAGCACTGATCAGTATTGAGAAACTACTCGAAATTTTTAAGGTTTAAAGATAATAAATTCCAGAGCATATAATCTGAAGAGGAATTTAATTATGAAGTAAATTGTGATTAAATCAGCCTCCCTATCATACTACAGAGAATAACCTTCGAAAACAAGCCAGGTATTGTCGATTGAAAAATATTGAGAACCAAAATGGTGACCACATTTAGTATTTAATTGCTCGCGTTAAATTATTAACCTATACCACTCATTATCGGATTTTGACCTGAATAAGTATTTGGAGAAATTGCCAACCAAATATCTAGGAGACCCTCACTATATTGAGGTTGTAATATTGTAGACGATTCAACCATCAAGTGTGTCGGAATGACTAAATACGAACATATTAGCCACAGACTAGAGAGTTCAGTATAGAAATGCACTTATTAGCGTATCTGCACAGACTGGATACTTGAACATAAAATTTTTAATGAAAGCATGACATCATGAGATCTTAGTTTCTGTAAGGAAGTAGTTTAAGGTTAGCGTTAATGAAACTAGATAGAAGCAGACGGTCACACGTCGTAAAAGCCTCTGTTAGCTTTAGATTAGTATGATGACTAACTATATGATAACGTTGGGTGAATAGTGACATGATTATCTACGCAACATTTCGAAGTTTCAAATGGTTTGCTGAATATGTAAATATATAGAAACGCCTACGAATAAAAACGTCCATAAATACCTTCCTAAATTTCGCATTCGTATTCTGGCTTCCGTTGGAATTTCCTCTTCCTCACTCTGTAGACGAGTATACTTTGAGATCTAAGACATAACTCACTTCCTCATCTGAGTTGAAGACTTCACGGACCTTGCTGTCTACCTTTTTAGGGATTTCAGGTGTAAAATCCTTTAGAGGTAATCTACACGACATTAATAACAATATCCAACCTGTGTGGGTACATTTAATTTGATAGGACTTATAATCGCAGGACGTCGAGAACCCTCACTTGATTTTTCAATTACTTTAACTGGGACCTGATCACTAACAGATTCATCAGGCTTTCTTTTCAGGGTTTTAGGTCCTATTAAAAATCATGCACAAAAGATGCTGCATTTACCCGAACTCATACGAACAAATATATGAAGTAGCGTACTAACTGAAAATTGAGGGTTGATATCATGTCCAATACCTTTGCGACAAGCTTGCAGAGTTAGAAAAACATATATAAGCAAAAAATATTGTTTTCTATAAAATCCTCATCATGATTTGCTCCAATATACAGTAATATTTATATTCATATATAGATATGCATAATTCGCCATACCATAATATTGAGTAGTAAGAATCCTAGATCCCTTACACAAACTAGTCGTCAAGAGAAGTGTAAGAGCGTCTTGGAATTCACTTCCAAGGTGGGACATATAAATTTTAAGGGTAGACGGATGGTATCTAGTTACTGCTTCCTTGTTCATAAATGTATTGTTAACTGAGACTATTGACATTGAGTATCATTAACTACTTGAAAAACAGATCAATATAGAAATTTCTAAGGTTATTCTCAAAGAATTGCTTTTAAAATGTACTATTAGGGTCCTTCTTGTCTTCTTCAACACATATTATGGACAAACTAATTGAATAGCGATGGGTTTTGATTTTTTTCCCTCGTAAAACCAGTAAACGGATTTCTCAAAGAGGTTTTTAATAAGTTTGACTTTCATTGATGTTAAATTAATAATACCTTTATTATCATTGATCAGAAATCGGAAAATAAAATTTATAACGGCTACTTAACAATAAACTTTCAGTAATCACACATCTCTTAGGCCTTGTACCAATTAATTATAGCGTAACCTAGTTGGATGTCTTGGAAATAGAGCTAGTAAGATATACTCAGACGATACTGTGAACAAGTAACTAGAGCTGTGTTGATTGAAATGAGCTATCCACAAGGCTTTCCAAAGAACCACTTGCATGTGATAAACGGGGAAGTAGCGACATGAACGGCTAGCAAGACACCTATTTTTGAAGATGCAATTCAACAATGATATAACTGGTGATGTTCTACGGGATGGAGTGACTAGAGCAGTGATGGTACGTTTAATGTAGGTGACCTTTGTCTATTGCACTCGACCAGATCTGTGGTGATTCTTCAACTAAAGGATAAGTTACCTGGTTCTGATACATCTATGCCTATCTACAAATTCAGTTTTTCCTGTGGAGAAAGCTATTTTGGGCGCCCAACTAGACAACCGATCAAACGGGTTAGTGAACACCTTTCTTCGCGGTGAGGAAAGTGTCCTCGAAACAATACGCAGCTCTGTTCTATCGACAGCAGTCAAGCAGTAGACGGGAATAAGTCATTCATAGTGTTTTATCGTATCCCTACTGGTCTTCATTATGTGGTTCGGTCTCGTCTCTTACACATAATAGAAGCCATAGGAATTCGAGAAGACATTCCAAGTCTTCGTATTCACAAGACTTTGTAACACATTTCTTCTTTGACCTCATAAATGGTTTTATTTATTAAATTTCATACTCCGCTCGTTTACCTTTTTCCACTAACTCTCATCTAATTTTTCCTAAATATACAGTCAATAGTTAGTTCAATTATCAAAACGCCTTTTGTTAAGTGGTCTAATAGATTTTATGAATGTTATTGCAACACCTATATTTTTTTCAAAACACTGACCTAATTCTCATTATGAAACACGCATACAAGCATTTGTTATTCTTATTACAACTAATACACCTGTCATCATACAATCAATTCGTACTCTGTTAATATGCTAATTTACGTAATCTATTCCACAGTCATCACTTAATTATAAGCTACCTTGATTGGCTTAATAATTTTGTATATGCATATATATATATATATATATATGTTACTGTATAATACAGTAAAGCCTGATGAGTATCATATCGAAAACAATTTTGTTCGATCATATATGTTGTTCTAAATAACAATATGGGTGATATAAGGTGATATAAGCCTAAATCGGAAACTGAAACAAAACCTGGTGATTCCAGAATTATCCATTGTGTAATCAATCATCTGCTGAGTGGAACTATTGGGTTATATCACCAGAAACATTTATGAACCTATTCATTTCATTACACCCTCAGCTCCATTGATGCAGCTAAGTATTTGTCGACTAGTTGGACACTATTTGTGATGACTGACCAAAACGAAATCTCAAGTAACATCCTTTATGTACCGACTATTATTAATTTAGTCAATCATCGAAAATGTACAGACATGTTTAAAGTGTAATCTTACAGCTTTTCTTTAATTATAACCGTTAAGGTTCTACAAATCACTATGATTTCTTTAAATTGTTTAAGTTGTAAAAAGCCGATGTAAATCAAGCAATTTCTTCAAGTCCATCTGCTTTTGTCATGAATACTTTCAAGGAAGTGGGATTGCTCCAAAAATGTCACAAGTATCAGGGGTTTTACAACGCTTTTATGACTAACATCTTTATAATCGAAATATACCAACCCAATTGTAGCGACTGAACAATCAATATTCGGATGAAACAACGGACTGACTAACCCAAAATTTATTCGATTACACCAGACCAAGTTCCTCTGTATAGCTCACAACGCGTCTTTGAGATACTTGTATTATATTATATCAAAACACAAACTCTGTGCTCAATATAAACGGTTTTAATTAAGAAAACAGAACAAATTACATCAGAAATACAAAATTCCTCAAACGGTACAGCCTGTGCTATACGGTCAGAACTTTCTCTAACGCAAAGTAGTGCGCTAAACAACGAAAGAGACAGTTGATACTAAAGGGTTTGATACCCGAGAATCAATACAAATATTCCCAACAAGATGGGATCAAATATCTATCTCCAGGTCTACCAGCAATCCTCCCAAGCAGACAGTCAGACGGTTCAAAATCACACACTGAACCATGCCGTGACCTTGAGCTTAGTCAAACACGACCTTGCTGTCAATGGTCCGGCAACATGCAATAAAAAATTAGGTAACAAAATATATGTCTTTAATCAAAATCACATAATAAAGGCCCAAACGAGGAAGACTGAAGGACAAAAGATATGGTTAAACGAGATCAGAACAATGGTTAAAATACACAACAGGGAGAAGAAACAAGTAAATGACAATACTGTTCAACAAAGAAGCTGCGGGGGGATTTTCATCGTTTTCTTTCCGTTACACCAATCAAATCAAAAGTCAGAAATGAAGGGGTCTGAATACATACTTGGAAAGCTATCGATATGTCGACAAGCGCTTGATCTAAGCTGGCGCGGTGCGTGACCGTTTGCCTTCATCTGGGATGTGTCCCGCAAAATTAGTGAGGTTAGCGTCAATACTGAAGACTTACAGAATTAGTCAGTTCGGGATTTATTTACTGCTACAGAGGCATAAGTGAACTACATGTGAAGTCCATCTAAAACTGATACAACCGAGCAATAAGTACAGATATGACCACATATACAGCGACGTATAGAAAGAGGAGATATTTACAATATATTTATGAAAATTATCTAACTTATATATTGCCATACTGTCAACCTTCAGAAATATGTTATAACACTCAGTAGTATTTAGAGTTTAAAACGGGTTTTTCTGTAAATTGAGTGCAGTGTCTTTATTTGAGATTTCTGAACGTAAATGCCTTCTTTATTATGACAGTTGAACATTTTACTGTAGCCCTGTACTTGCAATTTTGCTTGATAGCATATCAGGTTTACACCCAGGGATTCATGCTTTTGTATGGGCCTTGGTTTAACTGTCTAACACCTCCAGGTGTCTAGTGGGAGTCATATAATGGAAGCCCACTGCTGACACCCAGATTGACAAACGTATGCTGGAAGGATTACTTAGCCTTATTCGTTTCGGACTCACTCATATCATGATTCTAGGAGACTTTAATCATTCTAAAGTCACTATCGTTAAAAATACCTACATAGGAAGTGACAACCTCATTGAACCTCAGTTCTTCGACCTCAGTAAAAATCTGGGATTATTCGAAAATTTCACGTCTGCAACTCGTTGGAGAAACAGTCGGACGCTGTCGCTCTTAGTCTGCCCACTCACAAATGAAGAATTCCTGGTTGACAACCTCTCACGCTTGGTCCAATTGGGTTGAAGTGATCACACCGTCACAGCCTCTAGTCTTATCGGCAAAAGTGAGCCAAGCCATCCTACCAATAGCCGGTGTTGGAATATCAAACGGCTGGATATATCTGTTTTACAGGACAATCTACAGCAGGTGGATTGGGAAGTTCATTCACAACTTGATGTGTATGCTCATTGGGGTTTCTTACTATACATGATTTTGTGTGCTACAAGGCAGTCTTTTCCTCAAATGGTCCCTAAAATCTACAAACAACCTACAGTCATCAAGAATCGTACTCTGCACTTGCTAAGCCGCAAAAGACACTACAGGGAAGAATACAAGCGAACTAGTAACAACAGCGCGTACAGGCAAATCAATATACTACAGAACCAATGCACAAAGACACTAAGAGAAGACAGTATTCAGTATCAGGTGAAGTTAATAGATAAATTTGTCTCCAGTCCGAAAAGCTTATCCCGTCGTACAGCCTATCTTCGATAAGCCATAGCCGGGGTTTCTTAACTCCTAGGTTCTAATGGTCCAAGCAACAACGATAACGACATCACCGACCTTTTGACAGAAAAATACTTTTGGAAATTTCAACAAACTCATATTAACTATATTGACAAGAGCTCTGCCTGCAACTAAACAGGAGTCTCAGAAGTGAACCCGAGCGCTGACTTGGTGCACCGGAAACTGCAGCGCCTAAAAAATGACACTTCTGGTCCGGATATGGTTCATTCTCCTATTATGATGGAACCAGACTCAATCTTGGCAAAAATACTTAGCATAATATTCTCACATTCGCTAAGCCGAGGCAGGTTACCAGAAAATTGGAAGCTGGCTTTTATCACACTAATTGACGCAGCGATAATTCAAGCCACGGGCAGGTAGCACTTCTCTCGTTACCCTCAAAAATATGCAGTCCTTGGTATGCGACTGTCTACGTGACTACTTACTATCCATAGACTTCTTTTCACTCCAAAAGCATGGTTTCATTAAAGGTCACTCTCGTATAACCAACCTGCTGAGAGTGATGGACAGATTGAAAACCATCCTTGATCGCAAGGAGAAGTTTGACGTCACATACCTTTACTTCTCAAAAGCTTTTTGAAGCGCCAATAATATATGTCAGATTCAGATTCAGATTCAGATTTGTGTAGTAAGGACAGAAGGCCTACGGCCTATGTTATTCCTTTTCTAGTATGCTTCTGTGAGTGTCCAGTCTTCTCTTGAAAGAGTCAATTGAAGGTGCGGATACCACTGCTTCAGGCAGCAGGTTCCAAGTATTGATGACTCGGTGTGAAAACCTGTATGCCAGAGGTATTTTGTTCGTTCTTGGCTTTTCTACTCGCCTACTATGTCCTCTGAGGTGTCCCGATCTAGTGGGAAGAAAGAGAGAGAATAAGTTAGGTCCGAAATCATTTCTCAGTATTCTGTACATCAATATTAGATCTCCCCTTAGTCTGCGATAGGACAGAGTAAAGAGGTTCAGTTTTTCAAGCCGCTCTTCATATGATAAACCCCGGAGTTCCGGAATCGCACGCGTAGCTGCCCTCTGTACCTTTTCTAGTATGTCTGAGTCACCTTTTAAACAGGGGCTTGCAGCCTGAACACAGTTCTCTAACTTAGTTCTCACTAAGGATGTGTATAATGTGGTGAACATGGTAGTATCAAGCTTAGTGAATGTCCTTTTTAAAGCCCAGAGGGTTCGAAACCCCTTAACTGCGACCTCCCGGCAATGGGCCGTCGTCTTAAGATCATTGCTCACGGTCACCCCTAGGTCCTTATGAGACCGGACTACGGGTAATGACACATCTCCTATGTTGTACGTATTAACCTTTGAATCCCCCAAGTGCATGTAGACACACTTTTCCGAGTTGATAGGCATTAGCCACTCTTTAGACCAGTTTATCATATTATTTAAGTCCGCCTGAAGAGTAAATGTGTCTGTGTCTCCAGTTATTACTCGCCAAATTTTTACATCGTCAGCGTATAATAACATTGGAGACTGTACTATACTTGTAAGATCATTAACGTACATTATAAAAAGTAAAGGACCTAGGACGGAACCTTGGGGTACTCCACTAAGTACTGGTCTCCAGATGGAGCACTTGGAATTTATTCTTACTTTTTGCCTACGACCTACTAGGAAATCCTTAATCCATTTTAAAAGAGGTCCGGCAATACCAAGGTTTGCCAACTTCAATAGCAGTCTATTAGTTGGCACCTTGTCAAAAGCCTTACTGAAGTCTATGTAGACAACATCCACTGAGTTTCCGTTGTCTAGCGCATTAATCCAGAGCTCCCTAGCTATAAGGAGGTTCGTTGTACAGGATAGACCCTTTCTAAAACCATGCTGTGCCATGTTCAGCAAGTTATTGGTTTCCATAAATGCTGTTATGGTCCGTTTGATTATCCTTTCCAGTATTTTAATAACAACACTGGTGAGGCTTACGGGTCTGTAATTTGATGGAACTTGTCGTAGACCAGTTTTATGTATGGGAGTGACGATTGCGTCCTTCCAGTCCATAGGTAACACACCTTGGTCAAGTGACATTTTGAATATCACAGTCAGTGGGGCTGCGATATATTCGGCAATATGTCTCAAGATTTTAGGGTGTAGTTCATCTGGTCCTGTTGACTTCTCCATGTTTAGGGTGCTAAGAGCCTTAAGCACATCGTTTTGGTCGAAGTCCACGGTGAGCAGCTGGTTTGTTGATTCTGTAATTGGGTCTGGTTCTTTCTCTAGAGGAGGTTCCTGAGTGAAAACTGCCCCAAAGTAGTCAGCCATAATCTCAGCTTTTTCATGATCTTCCTCTATCATTTCAGATTCACTTCCTACTTTAATTAGGTTGGGAATCCAGTGATGAGTCCTTGTTCTGTAGTTTATGTACGAGAATATCCTCTTGGGCTGCTTGAGAGCAGATTCTGCCAGCTGCATTTCGTATTTTCTTTGCGCTTCCCGAATTTTCGTTATACACACGTTTCTTATCGATCTGTAGTGTTCCATCGTATCTGCTGTGCCAAGGCGGATGGCAACATCCCAGCATTTCTTCTTTTGTCTTAGTAAGCGTCGAATATCCCGCCCTAACCAGGGATGTCCGTGCTTCTTTTTCTTTGGGACAGTCCAGGGTATATATGGTTGAGTTACCCGATTGTATAACTGTCTGAATAGAGTCCATGCCTCTTGTACTGATGCCTTTGAGTCAATTTCCCAGTTCTCAGCCGATGCTGCGGAGTCAATTGCCTGCATATCTGCCTTCCATATGTTAGGACGGGCCGGCGCAATTGTTTGAGAAGCAATTTCAGCCATGAATTTGAATAAGATGACTGCATGGTCACTTCTCCCAAGTGGTGGGAGAAAAGCCGTTTGACCAACGTCCTCACCGTGTGTGAAGACTAAATCTAAAAGAGAGGAAGAGTTTCTTAAGTCGTATCTTGTGGGATCTCTAATGTGTTGGAATAATGCTAGTCCAATCGAGGTTTCTAACAGTTTGGAGTCGAACGACGATATAGATGACTCTACTTCTAAGTTAACCCAGTTTATATATGGTGCATTAAAGTCGCCTACTACAAGGCTTTTACCGTTGTTACACCAGGACTTAAGTTTACTGAGGAGAAAATCGTCTGCTACACATTCTGGACTGCGATAAACTACAACTAATTCAATATCTTGCCTTCGGCATTTCAACTTACATCTCACCAGTTCACATGTCCCTGAAACATGTGCTACTGTCTCAGCTAATCTTATGGTTAGGGTACTTTTCGTGTACACAATAACCCCGCCTCCCCTTCGGTTTAATCTATCAGCCCTAGTGGTTATGAAACCAGTCAATTGGATTTCACTATCTAATACTTCTGACGTTAACCAAGTTTCCGAGACAGCGATAACGTCCGGTTTTTCTTTATCCACCACTGACTTCAGCTCCGCCATTTTATTTAGTAGGCTGCGAGCATTTGTGTAGCACACTTTTAAGTCTGTGGAGAGCTTTCCCTTGCCACCCAGAGTGGCTTGGGGATCGTTTTGCTCCGAACTTTTACAATCTGAAAACCCTTAAGAACGAGGTTTCTTTCACCGTTTCGGCGACGCTCGTTTATTTCCGCTTCTGCAGCCCTTCTCTTAATACGATCAGCTAGGCTGAGGTCCTCACGGACATATATTCCGGACCCAATCAGTTTACGTGAATTACTTAGAACCAGGTTCCTTTCTTCCACCGTGTTGAATGTAACCTTTAGGAGGCGGTTTTTCTGAGGACTTTCGGAATCCACCTTTTTTCCTATTCTATAAAGCTTACAAATACTAACTCCTGAAACTGTATCTGGGAGTAGTTTACTTAATGATGTCTTAATATGATTAAGATCATGTTCAAATCTTGTCTTTGGTTCAGTGTCTGAAGATTCTCTTATCTTATGAAAAATGACTGATCTCTCAGAGAGATCTATCTTTTCACGCGGTGAGGATTTTTCTTCTGATAAAGTCCCTTCCAATGTCTTGCTGACCAGCTGCGTTTTGCCTACAGCCTTTTTCTTCTTATTTTTTTTTCTTCTTACCGGAGTCCATTTGTCACCACTCAGAACAGCCACACCTGGACTATGTGGAACGGTGACAGTTTTATCCGGATCTTCTATTTCGACTAGAGGTGTATGACTGCCGATGTCAATATCAGGCGACACTTCATTTCTCGTTAATGTCAACGGAGATTTCACAATCCCGTCAACCGCAGTCAGGTGTTTAATGGGTCTAGTAACAGCACTTACTACACTGACACATTCTTCATCGTCAGTACTCCTGTTATCAGTGCTTCCGCCATCGTTTTTCTTGCAGGCCAAAGCCAATAGGCCCATAGCCTCCTGTATTAGTACCTTTTTATCCGTACAGCAGAACACACAAAGCCAATGCGAGTTAGGCTTCGAGCATCTTTTGTAAGCCGTCGGACTTAGTCGTGTACACATTTTGTGATACCACTTTTTACAGTCGTCACACTGCATTCCCTCCTCAACGGAGAACAAACAATTTGGTTGCCCACATTTGTGAGTCTTACCAACCATTGTAATTCGATTTAAAAGGTTTAAAAACAAAAAACGATAACAATGTGAACAAAAGTCTTAGTCAAGGACTAAAAACAGGTACCCAGGACAAAATGTAGCAAAAAATTTCAAACTTTAACCAAAGAACTCTTAGTTAAAGTAGACCAAGAATGCTTTTTAGTGCAATAAGTACCAAAAGCAAGTGTAATCACAACAAGTACAAAAATCACTGCCCTTTTTGAAATTCCGCGCGTCAATTGTCATATCAATAAACTCGAACGATTATGCATCAAATGACGTTTAATTAATTGGTCCACATGTGGTTATACTATATTTCGATATTAAGAACGCCTTTGATAAAGTACCTCATGATCTTCTAATCAACAGACTTAAGTCAGTTGGAATTTTAAATCCCCTTTTGCAATGGATCAAGTCTTTTCTTACGAACAGATACCAAATAACCAAGATTAACTCTACAACATCTACACCTCGACCAACAAACAGTGGTGTTGTGGAGGGAAGTGTCTTGGGTCCATCGCTCTTTATAATCTACATCAAAAATATATCCAAGTGGTTTAGCACAGGTAAGACCTACCTAGTCTATAAAACTGACATTTGCTGTGTACGTAGTACTATGCAAACAATCCAACATGAACTCAACATGATAGACAACTGGTTAGAGCTCAACACAGAGGAATGCGGCTGGTTATGTATAGGAGACACGTCTCTTAAAATAAAACTAACACTTAACAACCACACACTGTCCAGACTGGCATCAGTAACTGACCCAGGGGTACATTACTCACAAAGCTGTAATTTTTCTGAGCACATCTCAGCCAAAGCATCTAAAATGCGGAAATTGATTGGCGTCATTCTCCGTAATTTCTATCTAAATGAATCTAAGACCCTTCTTTATAAAGTTTGTGTAAGACCTATCGTTGAATACTGCTCGTTCTTGTTTTCCAACCTACGCCTATCTGATATACTAAAGGTGGAAGGAATACAGCGAGACCTCACCCCTAAAATACTTAAGACTGACTCAGTCAGTGACTACAGTTCTCGATGCCGAATTTTAATAATAGCACCTTTTTTGGAGAGAAGGCCCGGGTCTAATTTGTTTCCCTACTTCAAGCTACTCGAAAACCTTACTTATTTAACATGTAAGATAGTTCTTACACGAGATTCCCATGAATACGAACTTCGAAACAAAGTATCTACGGTCAAAGTTGAGAAATACAGATAAAAAACTCGGGGAAACTTCTTCCTCACCAAGTATGAAATATTATGGAACAGTCTTCCCTCCGAAATACGCATGGTAGATGAATTACATACGTTTGTACAACTGCTTGATCAAGTCCTCACGTTCACTGATCTAGCATGTACGAACACATCTGCGCCCCTCTCAGACACCATAGGCTGTCTACACGTCTAGACCAAAGTGGACTTCAAGTCCAGTTCGCCTTATTTTTCCTACTCTGTAGTTGTATTAGTTAATTTTTTCACCCTATTTCTTCACTTGAAGTGGACGGGTAACTCACTGAACCTATCGATACTGTTCAACTAAACTCGGTCGCTAAGGGACACTCACTACCACTATGAAAAGTCAAGAGAACCGCACAATCGACTGCCTACTACCAGTGATCTTGCATCTATGGAGCCTGTTATCCATCAACTGGTTAGGACAACACAAAATAACATCAGCACCAAGTTTGTGTGAGTTTCTTCCTGTTTATTCATTATTAACCTTTTGCTCTTCTGTACACTATGTTGACTAGCAATTAATATTATTTCTCCACTCGTTACTGTATCTAAACTCATATACATCTATACTTTTCCGCCTGCTTTAATGGAAAGCTATCCTACATTATACCCTCCTTAATGCTTATACTGTAATTGGCAAACCATACTTTATACTATAGTCAATTAAAGTACTGCATCGATGCCCTACCCACAGACCATAAGTTGTAACTGCCTGATAAGCTTTTAAAGTGGTACTTATAGAAATAGTATTTTCTAACAGGATGTGAAACACAGAGGATTGTGTGAGGTATGACATATATCCAAAAATAAGCTTAAATGAGCCCAAAATCACAAAAGGAGGGAGGATCGAGTTACTGACCAGCAAGCATTGATGGTGAGGGTGATGACTTCAATCCACCAGTGTTTGTGGGGCAGAACATTTTGTATGTATCAGGCTCTTTATGATTGAGAATAAGTCAATCAATTTGTGATATAGATTGTCTTCCTTTAAGAGGATAAAAAGACTCTGTGGCGTATCCGACGGCAAGTTACGAAATTAGTTCGGGGACTCAAATTCAAGCCTTATGAAGAGCGCCTTCAATCACTAAACTTTTACCCATTATGTCCGGCATTTTATCACGTGATTTATCCACCAATCAAAATACGACGTACACAATTTAAGCACTGTGTCAAACCAACGTCGTTCGACCGGTATGAGCAGTCTAGCGTCCTTATTGGTCCTATGTCTGTCTAGCCCGTCCACCTGAGTTCAGAACACCAATACCAGCTTTCACTTTGCGAATCAAATCGAATTATTTATTTCAGACATACTGGGTTTATATATCAAACAAACAGACCACAACGTACCATAAAATAGGAAATAATATTTCTACACATTAAAACCAAAAGTGACTATGAATGCGAGAGACAGTAGTCAATAAACTAAACATAGCTTAAGAACAGTAAATCATATAATAATAAATTATAAGTCAAAATAAAGCTTATAACAAGGGGAATATAGATATACATAATCTAGTTACTGGATATTTATACCATAAGAATACATAAATAATATTAGTCCATTAATGGGTCTCGGAAGTTACTCATAATGTAATCTTCACTAGGATATAACACATTAGAGTATAGACGTTTTAGACGTGACCTACTAATGGCATATAGTATCCTTAACGCTTTTAGATATCCCCCAAACACGTACATAAGTTTAGCTGCAACACAAAACTTAGGGGTAACACCCAGAAACTAGAGATACAACACAGCAGAACGGAATGTAGACACAACTTCTACTCCTTAAGAGTTGTCAAACGCTGCAATTTACTGCCGGCTTTGCTAGTCCAAGCGACTTCCTAAGAGTCCTTTATGAGGGAGCTTGACCTATTCTTAAGAACTAAGGATAATATCTTACTATGGTTAACCAATTTCTCTCTCCTTTGTTATTTTCTCTGTTAATGACTTATAGCATCTTGAACACTTCTGGACTTCTCCTTTAACATATACCTCAGCTTAGTCCTAACAAAAACCTTGGGAGTAACACCCAGAAACAGTAAACGCTTCACAGCAGAATGGACTGTACGCCAATTTTCTGCACCTTAAAAGTAGTTAAATGTTGAAATTCACTGCGAGCTGATTTGGTTAAAATGACTTCACAGAAGTCCTATAAGCGAAATCTTGACACATTATAAGGATTAGAGACAGTATAGCGATATAATTTACTAATTCTTCTTTTCTCTTTTCTCATTGAGTATACCTAGGTTCGTGCCTGGAGGCATCGATGATCTACTGCTATTACGTACAGAAGCCCGTTAAGCAAAAGCTTCTTCCATTGCGTCTATAACCATTCGAACCATTCATTTGAACAAATGTCTGTTATTTCCCATTCGTTTCCAAACGTCTTTTTAAACCATCCTGTATCTACCTAGTTGTGTATTTCTCGTATATACAGAAGCCAGATGAAAGAATGCTCCTTTTATTCTATAGTCTTAGATTTGAAACTATTGAACACTGACCTCCATATCGAGGATTCTTCAAGGGGGAGAATCAACTTTCTCATCGACAGTTGTGATGTCTGCCAAAGCTGCGAGCAAGGTTGTCAAGCAGTTAGCGGGGAGTGGGACAGGTCAAAGCCTAATGGATAGAGTCACGCAAGCAAAGTATAGTTTGGCGGGTTCTGGTCTCGGGAAAGTCGTAGCGAAAGCAACCACAGAGGAAATCGGTGCTCCGAAGAAAAAGCACATTGATTGTATGGTTTATTTCAAGAAATAATAGTTTAAATAGACCTAGTAAACTGCAGTAATGAACCTAATGTCTCTATCCCACTACTTGCTGGGCTTCTTGTGGAAAGGACACAAGAAAAATCGTGGGTGATTGTTTTCAAAGCTCTCATAACTACTCACAACCTTATGAATTTTGGGAATGAGGTAACAAATTATAAGGTCCCACTGTTTCATCATAGAAATTTTCCCATTATCTTGCCTCCAATAACTGTCCAATTGACCTTCCACATTTTAATGATAAAACAAGCTCTCAGTGTATGCGTTTTTAATAATGATGGCAAATCTTTTTAGCTTATGAAATGTCCATATTCATTCGCAAGTATTCAAAATACTTGAGTGAAAAAGTTGCTTCTTACAGAGCTATGGCTTTTGACTTTTGCAAAGTGAAACGAGGGTAGGTTATTTTTTAATTTTTAATTTGTTTTTAGTCAACTAGTATTGTCAGTTATATTTCGTTGTCAAAGTTATTCTTAAGTTCTTTTCAAGTTCAGTTGTTTAGAGTATCTTGAGAAAACTTGAGTTATATTTATGTTGACATTTTTAGTTGCTCATTTTTGTAGGGACTTGAGATTATTGTCCTTACGTTTGTCGATGGTTTTATATCCTCCGATAATAGTCTATACAAAGAGCTAGCCTAAGTTGACTCTTTGTTCAATTTCCGCTGTCCCATTTGCTCTTTGCTCGGCTATTGCCCTTAGAATGATTAAAGCTTTTCATAAATTAAAGCACATTTATATTAAGACTATTTCGTTCTGTGTTGTCAATAATAAAGTTAAAATCCTGGCCATGTTAAGATTTCAAGCTGACTGGTTGCAATAGTTGTAACCAAGCTAAGTAGTATGTCTAACAGTCTGGCATTTCCACATGTGAAGAGTCTCCTTAAGTCATCTGTAATCGTAATTTTAGCTGCTTTCATAGACAATATTTATACAGTTGATGTGTCCTTTGGTAATGGAAAAGTTTTTATTAGACCAAACCATCAATTGCAATTACGATGAGATTTTGTTGGTTTTTATCTTCAAACCCCCGCTCTTAGATTCACATTACTATTAGTATTGTTGCTTTCAGTTTTGTGATTTTCCTGTTACTTTTCTCTAATTATACTGATATTCATGTTGTTAACGGGGTCCGAAAACCTGAGCGTTTTTTTACCTATCCGGGATTTCTCTTTAACTATTCTGTTTTTTGACTTTAAACATGCTTTTATGGTCGCATGGCTCTGTTTTTATTAGGCGTGATGATGGTGTTTTACGAACAATGCCAGTTGATAAGGTAACCTGTGTTGTGCGACATTTATGTTGTGGGTAATGAGTTTTATCACTATTTGTAGCCAATACTTTGTTGTGCTTTTAAAGACATGGTTTTTAGTTGAGATACATCAGGAACTTATATGAGGAGTTATTTCCCTAGTTCAGATTAGCCTTAACTGTTTGGTGTGAATATTTTTTCCGTTATGCCACTTTCAGCTTCATTTCACTTATTGATCAGTCGTGTTATTTCATATTTAAGGCCTATGTCAATTTCAAAATGTCTTGTGTTAAGATGAGATCACATCATAAACTTCTAGTTATAAGTATAAAGTTCCATGATAGAAAACATCTGTAATGATTTAAAACACTAAGATGGCTCAGTCTTTAATCCACTTGACTTTCAGCCATCATGTCTCAGGTTAAGAACTCGCTCCATGTACTTAGGTTTGGATTGCCAAAATTATGTAACTCCAAGTGCTTAGGATCCAAAACACCCTTAGCATTAAATTAAGTAACGACTCAACAGAAAATATAATGTAAGAGGATAACAACCTACCTTAATTGATAAAGAAGCCATACTAATTTACTTACTTGCATATCAGATATGCATTATGTAATCAACGCTCTTAGATTCAGCCAGTCGACACTCATCAGCCGTCAAACTTTGCCATCTAGTTAATGAATTACTCTTCAACTGACTCAGCAAAATTTTTACTCAACTAGATTATGAGACAAATCATAAACAAGTCTATTGCTGTAAAAAGCACTGCTGTGTTACGAATTTCAAAATTCGAGATTCTACTTAAGATCTCAAGTGATTGATTGTTTTTTTGCATAAGATTTATACATAGTACTGTTACTGCTGGCAAAGTTTTGTAAGCTTTTGTGTTCTCTTGATTAGTCAGAAAATTCTGAGTATAGTGTTTTTACCACTGTTAAAGTTTTATCAGGAAAATATTTTAGAAAAGTGCAACTATATTGCAATAGGTTTCGACCATCGTTGAGAACTTTACATACACATTGGTCATTACTCACTGATCAACCGATTGTAAATGTGTCTCAGTCTCAGGAAGTTAGTAGCAACTCGAATAGTTCAATAGTAACGTCTGCAAACGTGAAACTAAATGATATGGGATCGTGTGGACTGACCTCAAGCATTTGTCCCTTGGGCACTGCGGTCACGCACTCAAGTCACTAAGACCACCTCTAATCCAATTTCGTTTACAGGTACCTCCAGAAGAACCCTTCCACGGTGTGGGCAACCGGGAACTAATAACCTCTTTCATTCCTCTAAGAGCACTAAAGATTACTGTATTCATAATTAATCTCTCTCTTTAATTCCTATTATTCCTCCCACATCGACTTTCAAAACCCATCTTTTTGCTTCCGCCTCAAGTGTCACCTTAACCGACGACTCTAGTGCGCTAAACACTATCCCAGGTCAAATGAAACCTCGCTCCAGATTACACATTCGAGCCCACGTAAAATCTGCCAGAAGACCTCCTTGGCTAGAACTATAGAGTCTCCTACGGTTGATATGTGCTGTGTATCCGAAACACACATCCATTTATTTTATTTATTTATTTGAACACATGAATATTGGTACAAGAGCGCCAATATATATGCGCCACACAAAACAATGAGAATTCGAAGAGAAGTAGAAAAAAAACTAAGGGGCGCAAAAGAAAAAGAGAACAATGACGAGATTGGAGTAAGGTAGTGTGGTAGTAACGAGGGAACAAAAAGGTACAATCAGAAGAAATCTTTCAGGTAAAGGAGACACAACCACTTTTTATGAAGAAAGTAAAAGAAGGTTACAGCAAGATCGCCACTGGCTTCTATTCTGAGCCATATCTGATAACGTCTCTAGCCACTGTGTAGCACCATCTCTCAGACCCCAACCAGGGAGTCGTGAAGGACCAACAGAAGCCAGTCCTTTGCAGCTTTCTTTCATGCCACGACACCATGTCATGCACTGACCACCTCTCCGCTTCTTCCAACCAGTCCCAGAGTCGGCAAATAATGCACGACGTGGAATTCTCTGGGACGACATTAGGAAAACATGTCCAAGCCACCGAAGTCGGTGTTTCAAGATGGTGACACCAATTGAATTATCATCTCTGTGCCCGAACACACGATGCCGAACCTCTGCATTACTGACATGGTGTTGCCACTGGATGTCAGCAATCCTTCGGAGACAGCGATGATCGAACACATAGAGTCGTCTAACGTCCTCAACTCGGAGAGACCAGGTTTCACAAGCATAGAGCAAGACTGCCCTCACCGACGCGTTGTAGATCCGGCCTTTTACAGCCAGACTAACATCACGAAGGCGCCAAAGGTGGCCCAGATTGGCATAAGCCGCTCTGGCTTTCACTATTCGTGCATTGATCTCATCACTCACACCCCCACCAGCACATATGCAGCTACCCAGATACACGAACTTCTCAACTACGTCTATCTGCTCACCATCCAGAGTGAGTACAGGATTAGAATCCTGCCAGTCTTGTAGAAGTACTTTGCACTTCGAAGGTGCAAAACACATACCATACCTACGGACACTGATTGCCAACTGAATAAGTGCGGATTGCATGCCTTGGGCATTATCGCACAGTAAGACAATATCGTCCGCATACTCAAGGTCGAGAAGTCTTTCTCCAGGCAACAGATCCACACCACCATTACTTACATTCATCAGAGCTGTTTCCAGAATGTCATCGATGGCAAAGTTGAAGAGGAATGGTGAGATTGGGCAACCCTGCCTAACCCCACTGCTCGAATGGAACAATGGAGAGAGGTGGTTGTATGCCCTCACTCTGCCTGAGGTGTTTTTATATAGGGCTTTTAGGATGTTAATAAACTTCTCAGGCACACCCTTCTTCAATAGACAATCCCAGAGAACAGTCCTGTCCAACGAATCGAAGGCAGCCCTGATGTCAAGAAACACTACGATTGTTGGCCTTTGATAAGTATGGCGGTGTTCTAACATTAGGCAGAGGGTGAAGATATGATCAATACATCCTCGACCAGAACGAAACCCAGCCTGCTCCTCGCGAGTAAATCTTTCTCGGGTTTTGAACAACCTACGAAGTATGACGGAAGCCAATAGCTTGGACGCAATCGGAAGTAAACTTATTATTCGACTATTAAACACACTAATCTCAGTTCAGGTGTTGACGCAGACTAGTCCCGGAGCAACCACTTGCATTTAAAAATGGAGAAACGCATCCCAAAAATTCTGGCATCGTCGCTCAGTGCTACCAAAAGACTGCATTTTATCAGCGTCTTCACTAAACAGGACTATATCATCTGCGTATCGTAAGCCGATAGGTGGACCTCCTGATAGGAGATCAATGCCCGAAAATCCAGTCGACGAGAGCGTTATTTCCAGCAGTAGGTCTATGATGAAGTTAAACAAAAGTGGAGATAATGGACAGCCTTGACGGACACTACTTGAGGTTGCAAAATCAAATGACAGTTCACCATAAGCTCTGACTGGACTAGTAGTGTTCGAGTAATGAGCCTTCACAAGGTTTATGTACTCCTGAGGTACACCCTTCACTGCCACAGAACCTCTCGGTGTACAGGGTTAAATGCTGCTTTTAGATCAAGAAATGTCATTGTCGGACGCCGATGAGCATGCATGTGTCCTAAAACCTGACTAATACTGAATATGTGGTCGATACAACCACGACTAGATCTGAAGCCAGTCTAATTTTCTCGTGTTTGCAGTTCACGAGTCTTAATTAGGCGTGGTGGTGTTCTTCGGGGCTGCCCACTCTCTCCATTCTTGTTTACCTTTGTCATTGACGTACTTTTAGAGACAAAACTTTCCTCATCTAAAATTCCAGGAGTTGAACTTCTACCAGGAGATTCACTTGTTGACTTGGAATATGCCGATGACATAGTTGTATTTGGTGAAGACGCCGACAAAATGCAGTCTTCTGGCCACTCTAAGCAACAATGCAAGCATGTCCGGCATGTGATTCTCCCCCTCGAAATGCGATCTGTTGCTTCAGGATTGAGTTGCATCGACACCTGAACTAATGATAGGGAGTGAAGTAGTTGAGCGTGTCGACCGCTCCACTTATCTTGGTGGTCTCATCAGCTCTTTTGGTCTGATGTGTGACGAAATCTCAGCATGGATACAGAAAGCTTGACTAGCTTTTGCCAACTTGCGTCGTTTATGGCGTAGGCGAGATATCCGTCTGCCAACCAAAGGACGTATTTATTGCACAGCAGTTCGTTCCGTCCTACTTTATGGCAGTGAAACATGACCGGTAAGAGTAGAGGATATCCGTAGGTTACTAGTATTTGATCATAGGTGTCTTCGAAATACTGCTCGTATATCCTGGGACCATCGAGTAAGTAATGCAGTTGTTAGGAAACGGGTACTAGGTAAGGATGGAAAATCAGTTGATGACGTAGTGAAACTTCATCAGTTGAAATGGCTGGGACATGTGTTACGTATGCCCAACGACCGACTACCTCGACGTGCAATGTTCAGTGGTATAGGAGTAGATTGGAAGAAAGCTAGGGGCGGCCAGACCAAAACATGACACAAATCGATTAAGTCACTGACAAATGGACTGGGCCATATTGGTAAGTGTAGACTACCTGGTTGGGATCCGCGAGGTGATAGCAACCGATGGTTAGAGACCCTGAATGACATGACTGAAAATCGTTTGCAATGGCGCAGATGCATCCACTCTTTGTGTTCTCCCAAATTTTAATCTCCTGATTCCTCCTTGTCTCTTTTTTTCTTCTCAAATTTATTCCGCTGGATTATACTCCTTGAATAACATCTTCAAACCCTAATCTTTCCGACTACTGCTTATACTTTTACTACCTCTACCACTATGGGATTTGAATCTACAACTGCATCTCTGTGCTAATGTGGTATGGCAACTCGAACTGATGTACGTACGTACGTAGTTCTACGTTGTTACTGACTGACTGATTAGGCGTGGATTCATAAAGCTCATTTGGCTTTTGCCAACTCGGGTCACCTATGGCGAAGCCTAGGTTACTGTCTTTCATTTAAGGGACGATTGTACTGCGCAGCAGGTTGTTCTGTTCTAATTTACGGCTGTGAGACGTGTCCATTAAAAGTAGAAGATACTTGTAAGCTACTAGAATTTGATCACAGATGCCTTATTAGTATTGCTGGGATCACCGGGTAAGTATTAGTGATGTTAGACACAGGGTATTAGGGAATGTTGGTATATCAGTTGATGAAGTTGTGAATTTTCATTGACTTGAGATGGTTAGGACACGTGTTATGTATGCCTGAAAACTGATTACCAGAACGCGCAAAGCTGACTAGTGTTGGATATGGATGGAAGAAACTTTCCTGTATGGATCCAACATAATGTCCCTTATGTTCTTACATAAATTTAATCCGAATCAGCTCAACTACCTGTGAAAAAATATTCATTAGGTAACATTACTTTCTAAACTTTCTCAAAATCTGTGAATCAATGTGTTATTAAAAGCAAGTGTTCACTCAAATATTTTTTGTTTCCAAATACTCTAGGGACTTTTATAATTTGAAAATGGATTTGTGTTATAAAAGAGGTTTTTATCCCATATTCTCTCCATTGTAACAAAATTAATTTTTAGGCATAAGGGCATACCGAACAACTGATCACACAACTCACTCATTATTTCAATTTTCACCATAGGCTTGTGGAGATTGTTGAATTTCATTGATATTGCGAACCGATCTAAGTTAGAAAACCAGTTGAAACCTGGAGGGATCAGGTAGTCGTTTCGTCCTAGTATGAGACACATCAGCAGTGCACATCCACGACTCTCTAATCGGTATTCAAACTCACGGCCTTTAATCTCACACACGAATGCCTAACCTTTATACCACTGAGTTTGGATCCAATGGTGTACAGGTCATACTTCAATCAATCCACGATATTACACGATCGTCCTTTATTGTTTTCAGTAACTTTCTCTCACTCGACATTATTGAACTACACTGGTTTATTTACTTAGTGGTTAATTCTACAATCATTTTAGTGTTTGATGATTTGTCTTTTTTTATTCAGTTATTGAAAGCTCTTCCTGTGATGCAATCTCAAATATTAACTCTATTAGAATTTGATGTAAGTTTTGTGGATAAGAATATTGATTCTGTCATTTTTATTTTGTCCATTCATTTTTGAAAATATCCAGACGTATTTTCCTGTCTGGATATCCGGTGACTTTTGTAATCACACTTCCATCTCTTGAATAGTCGATCGCATTGTGCATCATCACTCTATTGATTACTTTAACAACCAGAAATTATATTCATCCAAATTTATGGATTGAGAAGGTTTGGGTGATTTTCACCTAGTTGCGTCATCTGTAACATAGGCGAGTTGTCCGTCTACCAACCAAAGGAACAGTTTACTGTGCAACAGTTCGATCAACTCGACTTTATTAGTGCGAATCATAGACATTGGGGACAGATGGTAAATGTAAATTGATAGTATTCGACCAAAGTTGTCTTCGAAGCATTGCGCTTGTATTTTGTGACCAGTAAGCAATGATGAAGTTAAGCATATGATACTAGATAAAGATAGTGAATCTTCAACTGAGTTGGATGGGATATGTATCACGTCTGCCCAAACACCGCGTACTTTGGCGAGCGTTGTTGTTTTTGGTATAAGAGCGGATTGTAATGAAGCTTAGGGCGCCCAAACAATGACATGACGTCAGTCTATGAAGTTATTGGCAGTTGGACCCAGTTCAGTCAGTCAGTCAGTCAGCTACAACGTAGGACCAGACACATATGTGCATCGGTCCAGGTTGCCATACCGCATCAGCACAACAAGATGAACACCGGATTCACAGCAGTGGTTAGGTCAAAGGTGGTAATATATAAGAGAAAGATTGCATATAGAGATATAGTACAAGAAGAAAGAATTGGTTCGTAGAAAGAAAGATATGAAGTGATTTTAATCTCTTATTTTAAGGGAAGACAGGGAGTGTATACACCGACGCCATTGTGATCGACTCTGAGCCATGTCACCAAGAGTCTCCAACCATTGGTTACGAAAGTCACGCGGACCCCAACCAAGTAGTCTGCATCTACCAGTTATTTAGGTATGTGTAGACTATTTGGTCGTGGTCCACGCAGCCATCATAACTAATGGCTAGAGACTGAACTCCAAAATCTGCCTATGCCTTTTGTTTATCTTTTGTTACACCCAGTCTTTTCCACTATCCATTGACAGTGTTACTAATTCTACTCTGTGATTTGTCTTGAGAAAATGTTATGTCGTCATTCTAGTATAGTGTTTCAACCTAAACTGACACGACTATGTCAGATTCCAAGTTGCACATAACTGACTAACATCCAAATTTATCCTTCATCATCTGAATACAGCGTTATTTCCCTACCTAATCGTCATTCTTTATAAACTGAATTGTTATGCTAAGATTTATTATACACTACTCAAACCTTTCCTTCTCTGAGTATAACTATTCGTGATTTATTTTATTGTGTACCAGCTGAATCAACTAATTGTTAATTGGTTTATCTTCTAATGTAACCAGTCAGTACAGTGAACTAAATTGAATCAAGTACTTATCGTGTTACACGTATTTTTTTTTCAAAAAAACGCATAGTTTTGTATGAGTTTTAGCTAATTATTGAATGTTAGTTATTTTATATTTTTATAGGCTCTGGAAAAAGACTTGAACAATGCAATTATTAACGCTGCTTTCCTATTGTTGTATAAAGATCTGATTCGTCTATTTGCCTCATATAATGAGGGTATGATTAATTTGATAGGTAAGTTATTCAACATCAGCTTGGTGTAGTTGTTGACTTTCTTTCTCATATAGTTTGCATCGCAAATTGGTTTTTAGCTAGAAAACTGTTTTAAATCCGAGAACATTAACACGACTGTTTCATCATTGTAAAAGACCCTTCAGCAATGTTTACTCACGACCCCACATGTAGGGTAGTAGAGTCAGTCCTTAGTCCGGAATAATCCTGTCCTATGCTAGGAAGCGACAGGTGATTACGGTTCCCCAACTTACAATGGTTGTCTAGTTCAAGTTAGTCCTTGATCTGAACTTCGAAATTCAATAGTCTGGACAAACTCCTCACACCAATAACAACCATATGTTAATTAGTGTCAAATTTGAAAAGTCAGTTCTCGGAGTTGTCATGAGACTGAGATTCTATAACAACGCTAACGTAATTTTGTGAATGGTCGTATCGATGTTTCTGAAATTGACGTATTTGTTTGTAATATTATGGTAGTGTTCATTCTTTTGTACCTTTTTTATGATTCCTCTCTACTTGAATCTGAATCCTATAGAACTTGGGTGATCCTAAGGTTGATCTTAAAATCAACCGATTAAGTGTCACTTAGTTATTATGGCGCGTTTGTAAATAAAATATTTCTAATGAACGATGAAATTATAAAGTATGTAGATTGTTGAAATGCTAACATCCTAATCGTAACACTTGAAACTTATGCTTGTAAAGCAACCTCATTTATGAACTTCATGCCTTCTCCGAATGTCACTGGTTGATTGCAACCAAATAAGATACTCTTTATCAATAGTTTAACATTCTGTAGGTGATGTATAATAATATCATCAACCAAATTAGTCAAAATGCAGAATCTCGTCGAAAACACAATATCCTCTAACAAGTTAGCGAATAAGTTGAAAAAGGTTCAAAGCTAAATCTCACAAGTAGTGTGCAATCAAGTCATCCATCCTTTTTGTAACAATGATGAATTGATCTACCCATATAACAATTAGTTAAAGTTTAGAAATTATCTTGTTTCCTAACTGTGTTTTAAAGTGTGTGTGATATGTTCTTTCATTAAGCCTGTATTTCTCGACATCAATACAATGAACGTAACTACTTCTCTGTTCTATTAACTTGAGTGAAAAGTCCAGTTTCGTAATAAAGGCTTCGTCGATCATGACCTGAACAGATTTAAAAGTACATTTGAGTTAGTCGGTTACAATGACTAAAATTTATAAACGCAAATATTTTGAAATTTGACTTAACATTGATCTCAAATCGATATTAACTTCCTTCACTATAAGTAGTTGTATTTGGGAATTGGACATCTCTAACAATGTGCAACTCTGTATTCGTGCTGTATTTATTGGTCGCATTCTGTAGACTATTTCAAAATGTCATCTCTTATACATCACTGGCTTAGTACATATATGTTTGTGTACCCTATAATTGTAAATTCAAACCATAAGGTAATAACAATGTAATTGTAACCACTTTTTGTGCCCCCAAATGCCCTGGTACGGCCGAGAGTGAGGAGAGTCCGCTCTCCCTCTCGAAATGCTCTCACATGGCCACGCGTATATAGCCTCTGTTAGGGAAGTCCTACTCACTGCCTTCTCGTGGCGGGGGTGTTGTTTACAAAAATGAGAGGACGAAAAGCGAATGTCCGGCGCTTTAACCGGGTTGGTGGACATGGAGAGTCCACATAGGGGAGTTGGAAAACCCTGATTCCAAACCAATGGTGCACATGGGCTCCAGTATCCTGAAGGAACAAATGGCGAATGAACCAATCGTTGGTCACTGGCTAACATGGGACTGCATCTCTATACGATGCTCCACTGCCTTGTGGATCAGACCTTCATGTCGAAGGCTCGTGAAGTGGCCCCCTGAGAAAACCACCTGCTTCGGTTTGGGCACCCGGGCAGTATCACAGCCCTCACACATCGAATGAGATTTGTGTGGCGCGTATGTATTTGTTGCCTCATTGTACCGATTTTTATGTGTTAAAATAAATAAATAATAATAACTACTTTTTGTACATAGTTGTACTGATATTTTTATGTCACAATCTATTCATATGCAAGCATTACGTAACAGTTAACTAGGTTGTATCCTATGTTCGAACTATGTATTTCTGTTTGGACAACCTCAGGTGGAGTATTGCTTGCTCTAGGAGATTGAAGGCAGCCACAAAAAACTTGATCAACCCAGATTTTATGCTAATTGTTGTTAATTGGAATCATGAATTAATCAATGTTAGATCACCATTAAAAACCTGGTAGCATTATCCGGCCATTTGTCCTATTATAGGGCTCTTCATTAATGCTCATACTCGACTCCGCACACAGGAATTATACCTAGGACCTCCAGTCTCTCATGAAGTATCGTTTATTAGTCGAAGTTAGGCATTAACATTGCTGGATGCCCGTTCAGTGGTCTAGAGAGAGAATGAGGGTCCTGGGTTCGATTCCCGCGTGTGGGCTGTTGGATGCTCATTGCTGAAGATTTCCACACCTGGACGTAATAGCCATCCAATGCTTCTAGGTTTTCAGTGATCATTTAGCATTGTTCAGTTCACAATTTCAATGAAATTCAATCTCCACAACCTCATACTTCTATTTATTGATGTATAGAGAAATACTTTACTTTGAAACGAAGACAATGTCGTCTTGGCTTGGACTTATATCATGCTTTTCCAGGTTTATTATCGAAGCTTACTGAATTCCTTGCACTTGCTGAGGTATGTATCATTTATTGTAAGTACTTACCCACTATTCAATTTTAGATTGCCCTTAAAAGCCTTTCCAACTACACATTTTTCCTTAAATGTAATAACGAGTTCTGTTTTTTATTGGACATCATTATATGAACATTTGTAATTTGGTCTTATGTTGTCTTTTTTTGTAGATTTCAAGTCATATTGAACTCAGTTTTGTATGTATTAACGGAAATCCATATATAGTGTGTTTAATGTCTAAGATATAACGGATCACCTTGATAACATGTACGAGTAGTTTGGTTGATGGTACATGGTACAGATTAATAATTGCGGTCTTGTAAGGTTGTAATAGAATCCCCTGAATTATTTATATACATTTGTCACTAGCGTTTCCTCGCTATAATGCACTAGTACTCAATCCAACTGGCTAAGTGTTCATTCAAGAACACAACAGAAGTAGTTCACAACTTCACTTAGCTGAATTATTAAAATTCGAAAAAAATCACTAATGATTCGATCTAATCCCTTTGTTGAAAAGTAATCAAGTTCTTTTGGGCAATTTGTTAGGTCACACAAATGGAAGGCGGTTGAACTTATACGACTGCATATATATTCATCGCTATATTAGTAATTACACTGTGTTGCTAAAGCGCTTGGTACTGTACAGCTATTTATATCATGTCGTTTCCCGAATAGTTCTATAACCCTTTTTTCAATACATAATTTTCGAATATCTTCGTGTTAATTTTCTTGTGTTTATAGAGTTTGGGAATTGGCGATAAGGATAGTCTAGGTCTACAACCGGTAAGTTTCAACTTGATAATGATATCTAAACATACAGATGTGTAATTATTGTTTTTCTTTGGTAACTCAAATTACTCACATAAAGTGGAATCTGACACTCTGATATCTCTCACAATCTTAGTGACTAATCGTGAATAATTTATACATTTCATCGTTTGACTGGGAGAAGGCTCAGCTAGAGAGTTAATGCCGGCATGTTATCTACTCTGGCTAAATTTTATTAATAGCTCTAATATATCTTTGAGTTCTGTTAAGTATGTAGCTCAGTAATTTAAATACTCGATTATCAGAAATAAATTATAAATGAACTTCATGAAAGTTTGATACCAACTTATAATCGACAAGTATGTATTATCGAAGTTACATTTTTAAAATTATTGTACAGTGTTTTTGATTATGTATATCGGCTATGCGATGTGGAGCATAGAAGCTTCAAATTAATGTTCCTCTTTGGAAAATCGATTATTTTTATCGCCTGATTTTAACATGATTGGGAATTCCAGTGAATGCCTAAATCAGTCGGTCAGTCACCAACAACGTAGAACTTCGTACGTACGTACATCAGTTCGAGTTGCCATATCACATTAGCACACAGATACAATTGTCGATTCAAATCCCATAGTGGTTGAGGTAGTAAAAGTATAAGCGGTAATCGGAAAGATTAGGGTTTGAAGATGTTATTCAAGGAGTATAATCCAGTGAGATAAATTTGGAAAGAAAATAAATAAGGGACATGAAGAATTCAGAGGATTAAAATTTGGGAGAACACAAGGGGTGGATGCACCTGCGCCATTGCAAACGATTTTGAGCCATGCCATTCAAGGTTTATAATCATCGGTTGCTATCGTCTCGCGGATCCCAACCAGGTAGTCTACACCTACCAATATGACTCAGTCCACTTGTCAGTGACTTCATGGACTTGTGCCATGTTTTGGTCTGGTCGCCCCTAGCTTTCTTCCTACCTACTTCTACACCATAAAACATCGCACGTCGGTGTAGTCAGTGGTCGGGCATACGTAACACATGTCCCAGCCATCTCAACTGATGAAGTTTCACTACTTCATCAACTGATTTGCCATGCCTACCTAGTACCCGTTTCCTAACAACTGCATTACTTACTCGATGGTCTTAGGATATACAAGCAATGCTTCGAAGATACTCATGATAAGCCATTATAAACCAGGAAGTATTGAACTACTGTTTCTTTCTAGTGTGGAACTATTCAGTAGTGTCTATCGACTATTCCCCCGACCGTTGTTGCTACGTTGACGTGGTGGTCGGGCTTGCCTATCGTGATGAAGCAACCGAGCTATACTGGCCGGAACAACTGTTCCTCAAGGTCCTACCATGTCAGACAGGTCGGTTGAATAGCGGTAAGACTAAAAGCAACAAACCCAAGGTCCGAAGGCGAAGTCGTACTGCTGACTGTACAGAGGTGTGACAGTAGTAAGGTGTTTCCTTCAGACAACCAGCATGACAGCGATGCTGCCTTCCCACAAGGAGGGGTGGGGTTAGAAGAGGTCTACCCTAAAAATGCACGCCTCGCCTTATCCCGCGGATATCCGTCTCCGGCGGTAAGGTCTCAACAGGTGGGGAGCTAACACAAAAATTACCCATAAAAAGGTCGTGTGTGACCGACCTCAAGCAGTTGTCCCTTGGGCACTGCGGTCACGCTCTCAGGTCACTGAGACCACCTCTAATCCAATTTCCTTTTCAGGTACCTCCAGAAGAACCCTTCCTCGGTGTGGGCAACCGGGAAGTGGTAACCGCCCTCATATCTTTAACAGCACTCAAGACCACTGCATTCCTAATCGACTATTCCACCATGAATGTAACTTCGTGACCTATATGTATGAAAATCGTAGATACGCATTTCTGAAGGAGAGTTTTGTCGTAGTTCGAAACAGTTGACTAGTGTTTCTGGATATTTTTCTAGCTCTCTTTGTAAAGTCAATACTGAATAAAAACTGTTACCTAGTAAATATCTACTCATTGTCTATCTGCTTTGTTATTTCCTATCTCCACAATACTTGATTTTATTGATTCCACTCATTCAGGTCCCAGAGAAAGTTATTCAAGCCATGGAGCAACACTTACAAATTTTGGAAAGTAAAAAGGGGTACGTTGTTTTTACTATTTTCAAAGAATGATCTCATTGTTTTAAGTCATGTCTCATGCCTTTTATGCATTCAAATTTCCACTAGTCACGGGGTTTAAACCCTAATTCAGCATGAGCAAATAGATGGTGTATGGGTAGAAACTCACTATATAATTGTGAAATTTTGTGTCTCAAAGCTTCGAAAGCACACAGATTACGATATCGTGTTGATTTTAACCAAGGTCAACACATGTTAGTCTTTCATTCAATAACTTTATGAACTGATACCATGTCTTGTTTCTGTTGCCTCTCGGTTTCTTTCATCCTACTCCTATACGAGCCAACATCAGTAGTTAGCCATACTTACTACACGTCCTAACTACTTCAGTTGTCAGCACTTACACACAGCTACCTAAATACACGAACTTTTTGACTTCTAACTTCTCACTACCAGGAGTGAGCTCAGGTTCAGGGTTTTGCTAGTCTTGCAAAATTAACTTACACTTGGATGGTGCACTACACCAAAATTCGTCGTTGCCCATAGTAGTCTGAACATACTTAGGCAGCGATTTGAAGACATCTATGATCAGATGCCAGTAACCTATGAATTTTACGGTAAACTATCCCATATATATGCATATATAACTTTTGGAAATTCTCGAGAATTTATCCTCGATGGCGAATATGTTTTGTTTTCTAGATCAGATGATGAAGATGAAGAGACTCATACTTCAACCAAACCAAATGTACCAAAGAAGCCAACACTCCCTGTACCTATTCCAAGTCAAACCGTAATCTCCACTGAATCTAACAAGATTTCTAGCCATAATCCACCTAATCGAAACAGAGATTACAATGACGATGCTGAATCAATAAACAAAACACATGATTCTAATATTCTGGATCAATCTGAACAATTGAACGATGATACAACTGAACCGACTGTTGCATCATATCCAACTTTGGTCTTAAATGATGAAGGTCAGTTTGGATAAGTTATTTAATCAATAAAAATTTTATGGAGTACACTTGAACACAATGTCAATGAAATGATAATCGTTTTTAGAAGGCAATTTTTATCAAGAATCAATTTTTTATTGTGTTACTTGGAAACCAGAGTGTAGTCATGATGATTATTTTCGTTATAATCTTTGGAAGTCAACATCAACACTGCTCGCATGTTACAGTCTCTCATAGGAGTTAACTGGGGAAATTCAGGCTTCGCATCCGGCACGGTATATCTTAAATCATTGTGTGTGATTTCATCTGTCAAATTTTTGATAAAATATTGTAATCCTCTTCCACTACAGTCGTGTGTTCAGTGAGTCAGTCAAATGCACTGTTAAATCTGCAACATGTTTACATCGGTTCAAGTAGCCATACTCCACTAGAACAGCGAGATAAAATTGTCAGGGCTAAATCGATTGGTTACAATAATCATGAGGATAACAACTAATTAGTCTGCATCTACCTAGATGGTTTAGTCCAACAACCAATGTCTCTATCAGCTGACCTGATGTCCTGCACGCACCAATGAAATTAATCCTGACACCTCTTTAACTTAGTTCTTTTCCTATAGTGTTGAAACAAGCACCAACCTACGTCATATTAACGGAGGTGGCTTAGTGGTTAATATATCCGACCTTCCGTTAATAAGTTCCTTTGGGCAATACTATTATCCATGGGTTGTGATAATCGCAGATTGATCTCAGCCGGGGTACTATTAAGAATCAAAGTGTACTGAACAGCCGTTTTGTTCTAGCATGGTACTCCTCATCAGTGCACACCCACGACCCCACCAAGGATGGGACCGAAAACCTCTAGGTTCATTGGTGGGCGCTTAACTATCTAAACTGGATTGTTGTTTAATCGTATAATTTCAACTTTAGTCGGTTTGTCATATGGCATAAAGACTAGTCAATGATTAGGCATCCGACGCGAGAACTGAAATACCTGGTTTCAACCACTGACGGATTTGCGTGTACACTCCTACTAAAGAGTCTAATAATAGAATGAAACGGCTGTCCAGTGTGCTCAATGGTTTTCGTCCCCAAATGCCCTGGTACGGCCGAGGATGGGAGAGTCCGTTCTCCCCCTCCAAATGCTCTCACATGGTCACACGTATACATCCACTGCCTGGGAAGTCCTACTCACTACCTTCTCGCCATATAAGTAAATGTAGTCTAACTAGTTAGTGATCTCGTGATCAGCGCAGCCAATAGTTAGAGATCTAGGGTGACGTAGTTCAAAACCATTCGCAGCGGTGCGATTTCACTCACTTTGTCTTCTAAAACTTAAGTCTCTAAATTACCTTGTACATCCTTTTTATTCCACTAGTCCATCTTTTCCTCTCGAATTGTTTCTTGAACGTTTATTATCACTAGTACTGTTACTACCTCTGGTCTGCGTCAACACCTGAACCAAGGATAGGGAGTGAAGTAGTCGAACGCGTTGACAACTTCACTTATCTTGGAAGTCTGATCAGCCCTGATGTGTTGGTGTCTGACGAAATCTCAGCACGGATTCGGAAAGCTCTTTTGGTTTTTGCCAACTTACGTTACCTATGGCGAAGGCGAGATATCCGTCTATTAATAAAAGGACGAGTATATTGTGCGGCAATTTGTTCCGTTCAACTTTACGGCTGCGAAACATGGCCATGAAGAGTCAAAGATACTCGTAAGCTACAAGTATTTGATCACAGATACCTTAGAAATATTGCTGGAATCAACGGGTAAGTATTAGTGAGGCTAGAAGTGCAGGGTATTAGGGAGTGATGGTATATCAGTTGATGAGGTTGCAACTCTTCATCGACTGAGATAGTTGGGTCACGTGTTGTGTCGCGTATGCCTGAACACCGACTACCACGATGTGCAATGCCAACTGGTGTTGGTGATGGTTGGAAGAAAGTTAGGGGCGGCCAAACTAGAACGTGGCATCAGTGCTTGAAGTCACTAAGTTCTGATCTGAGCCATGTTGGTAGATGCAGACTACTTGTTTGTAGTCCGCATGACTATCGTAACCATTGGTTGGAGACTCTTAGTGTCATGGCTCAGAATCGATCACAATGGCGTAGGTGTATGTACTCTTTGTCTTTCGTTAAACTGTGAGATGAAAATTGCCTCATATCTTTATTTCTACGAAATAATTCTTTCTTCCTGTACTATATCCTTATACACAATCTTTTATATATTACTACCATAGACTTAACTACCCCTATGAATCCGGTGTTCATCTTGTTGTGATAATGCGGTATAGCAACTTGGACCGATGCATATATGTGCCTGGTCTTACGTTGTAGCTGACTGACTGACTGACTACCTCTGTTATTCTGGGATTCGCCTTGACAATTTAATCTCGCTGTACTAGTGGGATATGGGAATTTGAATCGGTGTATACCCATTACAAGTTCTGTGTTGCATACTTCTGACTGGCAGTAGTGTGTGTTTGTGTGTGAAATCGGCGTTCATACAACGTAGTAGCTTGTACTATACTGGAACAAAATGGGATGTCCAGTTCTTCCAAGTTTCCAAAAATTATTTAACGAAGATCAGTTTTTGACTTGAAAAAAATCTCTGAAAATTCTATAATCTCCACAAGAATTTTATATTTCAGATGGATTACCTTCCGCTTTACAAGAGGAGATAATTGCAACTGCTAAAGGTCACTTAAATGAAACACTTGTCAAGAGTTCCGAAGCTGTAAAACGTTCAACTCAACAAGGTGCAGTTAAAGTTCCAGTACATACACAATTGGGCAGGTGAATGCTATCATATTAAATATAATCTTTATGCATCATTATTGTAAAATAATTTCCCGTGTCGTGTAATGCTACCCCCCTAAATGTCCTGGTACAGCCGAGGGTGGGGAGAGTTAGCTCTCCCTCTCGAAATGCTCTCACATGGACACGCGTATACAGTCACTAACAAGGAAGTCCTACTCAATGCCTCGCAGTGGGGCGTTGTTTACGAAATTGCGAAGACGAAGAGAAACGGAGAGCCAACCTAGGGGAGTGATTGGATGATGCGATTCACCTACTAAGCACTGGTTTATTTATTCGACTTTTACCCACACTATTTACGCAAAGGCTAATAGTACTAGCAGGTCACTCAAACTGAATTAGGTGGAACGGGATTGGAAGTTGCAACCTCATTGGTTAAGATTTGAATACTTTAACTGATAAGCCACTACTTCATCTATCTAGCCTGTCATCTAGTCTTATTGTTGTTCTCTTTACTTCCAGGTTTCTCGACCTGGCAACGGAAATCACATAGAGTGGTTGTTGTGTGCTTGTTCACTCTGACTCGTATATTATTTATATGAAATCCGCCTATTTATTGTTCCTAATCCAAACGTTTTACACTGTTGGGGTACTGTAGTCTGACTTCCCATTCACTAATTTTCTGTCTGGCACACAGCTGGTTTGTACTAGACTGTTTGTGTTCTGGCTTAGAAGTATGTATCATAACCCAAAGCATTGACTATTTTATTCTACACGTTCAAGGAATCTATGTACGCAGTCATCGACACGAAACTTTGAACGGACGATTGTTCAGCTTGTTTGTGGATGACATCTTAAGGGCATTTTTGGAGTTGCAGGATATTTTGTAGTCACGCCTAGCTGAGGATCGGATTTTCATCTATCACGATACACAGTAATTCGTAGCATGTAGACTAGTATATCAACGCGAATTCTCGGTCAAAGATACCTTCCGAATAATTCACCTACAGCCTAGTGCGATCAGCATAACTAGATGGAGATATTGTAGTGTGTTTTAACTCAAGTCCGTTCCCTAATACTTAAGTGAACTTTTTACTTTTTCATATCATATTAAAACTGTATTTTAAAAAAATCATTACACAGATCGGAACATCGAACTGTATCAGTGCCACCGACACGTTCACGATCACCATCACCAGCTCGTCCACCCCCATCACCTAACCGTCAATATGAGAAAACTACACCGAAGCAACCATCGATCAGTGCAAGCGATAGTGAAGCAATTGATGATGACAATACTGATGGTATCAATAAGACAAAACATAATTCATCATCATTAGGTAAATTGATTTGAATGATTTGCTTTAATTCTTGTTCAATCGTTGTAATGACTTGAAATCAGAGAACTTTCTCCATAACCAATGTAAAATGCGACAATAAGCAGTAGAAATGTATGTTTATTGTGAAAAGCTACATAATACATATTCATAGTCTACAATCTTCCATTCACGTCTTTCGGTGTTTTCTGCCATCTATACTGTCTTATCATCTGGTCTCCAAATGTTCTATCGATGCCGTTGCTTTTGATACACTGAAAGTCTTCATAATTGTTGCAACTTCGACGTCATGTTCAGCTATACACTACTTACAAACGTCTTTATGTGTCGCGTCTACTACGGTATGATTAGTTCCAGATGATTCTTCGAGTGTAATTCTAACTCTTAACCCTAATTTTTTTGCATAATAAATTATTTATTTATGTACTGGTGTGACGTCACGGTCAATCCTCTTTTATTCGATATTGGGACCAATGTCAAACTTCGCGTCTAGCCGGAAGGTACTTTGCATACTAGGGAAGAATGTAGAGCATTGTGAGCGAAGAGGGTTAGGAAATAGAAGAACACAAGAAAAGGGAAGTCGACAACACAGCAAGCGCACACAATGCACTTACGTTTGATAACGAAAGCAATCAGCAGCGATCAAAAATAACACAAGCCTCAGATTAAGGCAGTCTTAGAATCGAAAGTAAAAGCAGGTAGTCCGGCCTATAGTTACCCCAGAAGAGCTGCCGTCGGAGTCATATATATAATCGAGTGAGAAGTCATACTGTCGAATTGTACTAGACTTCGATTCTGTTAATGTATATTATTTCTCATTTCTAACCCGTTCAGTTAGCAAAGTTGGTCACTGGTTTATCAATAACCCAATGTATTTATGTATGATTGTTTGAAATCGATTCTTACTAACCAAGATTATATCAAAATATCTTTGTTCTATCATATCTTCTACATTCATAAACTATTCCGTGTTTGTTTTGTCAACTGCTTCAAGGTCTTAATGTAGAAGTGAATGCACAGACTGATTCTGCATCTGTATGTGCTAGTCCTTTTGCTGGTGATGAAGAACCAGTTGAACCGGTAACTGATACTGATACTAATGTATGGTCAAATAAATCATCAGAAGGTTAGTTTAAATTTCTGATAGTTATTTGTCCAATAAATGTATATACATATATATGCATGATCAGTGATATGATAGAGTAGAATCCGACACATGTGAGTTGGTTTAAGTTGCCGTACCATATTAGCACAGCGAAACAGAATTATTTCAAGACAAATCCTTGAGCAATAGAAGTAGTAACGATGTTAGTAGTAGTAGTAGTAGTAGTAGTGTGGTGTGTGCTTCTTATGTTGATAGATATAAGTATTATGTAGCATCAATCGGAAGTGGCATATATGCCAGTAGAAGATTGGTAAGATTCAATTGAAGAAAACAGAAAGTAATTGTAATGACAACGGAATTACAAGAATCATGAAGCATGTAAGCAACAACTGATGGACGATGTGCAAGTTATGTATTTGATATATGGTATAGGAAAAGAAAAAAAAGGTGTAGAAAGATTTCAGGGACTAAGGGAACGTAAGAAACGTTTGCACTTACGCTATCATGGACGATTCTGCATCTTGTCATTCAAAATCTCTAACTATTGATTGTAACAGTCACTCGTACCCTAACCAGATAGTCTGAACGTCTTAACATTGGCCAGTCCAATTGTTAATGACTTCATAGACTGATGTCAGTTTATAGTTTGGGCGCTCTTAGCTTTCCTTCAACCTACTTCTACACCAGACATCTTCCGTAGTAATACGGGGTAATTGTGTTATATGATATTAAGATAGTTAGTAACTAAAGGGCAGTTGAAAGCTTGTTGAATCGTTACTTAAAATGTTCTCATATGGTTAATATCCTGAACTGAGAGTGAACAACAGTTACATCTTCCGACATAATCTCACTGACAGCTGCATTTTTAACACCTGTTTACTTGATTAGTTTTAATAATTGTCTACAGTTATTTATTACTGCAGCACTTTCTATCTCTTTTACTGTCTCTTCTAATATCATATCCTTACTGAGTAGTTGAAATGGTGTTCACTGTTGAAAGGATTAATGTCTAAAGAGTAACGGGTTAGATGCTAATACTATGTAAGGATGCCAAATTGGTTGATAGGGTAGTGAATCTTCATCGACTGAGATGGTAGAGACGTTTTCACGTAAGCTCTCTCCACTGCCTACCTCAGTGTTTATTCATGAGTGGCGTAGTAGTTTGTTGGAAGAAATCTAGGGCCACCCAAACTTTGAAGTGCCATCGGTATATGAAGTTAGTGACTGTTGATCTGAACCATGTTGATATATCCAGACAACCTGGTTGGGTTCAGCACGATAAGTTTGATCAATAGTTGAAAACGTGATATGGCGCAGATGCACTCACTCTTTATCTCTTCACTTAGGTTGGAGGAAGAGTAGGTTTAGAGAAAGCCAAGTGTTGTCAAACCCACTACATGATATTAATCCACAAAATCATTGATAGTTTTATTAGCCAGCGTGTTCTTACGTAGGTAGATAGGCAAGTAATTACAAATCTTAGAGATAGATAGTCATGATAAAGGATTGGAGGTAATGCATTTCAAAAGTCAGTTGGAATGAGCTAGAAATGTATTTATTCTTTGTATTGTTCTTTGGGAACTTATGATTTTACCAATGGATCGAACTTATCTGGTAGTCGATCATAGTATAATAATAATTTTATGCTTTATTGAGCATACTGCTTTTAATAATTGGCTTATTAATTATGTAATGTGTCTTTTTATGCTCCATTTCTCTTCTCTATAGCTCATGTTGAACCAATGCATGGTAGCAATCAACATTCAGCAATCGATGATTTACTTGGTCTTGACTTATGGTCCACTAATGATTCTATTCCACAAACCAATATTGAACCTATACCTTTCTCAGCTCAAACTGAGTCTGTTGGAAAGGAGTCTGAATCAAAGCCTTCAGCTATCAATACTACTGCTACTACTACCAATACAACAGGTCCTGCTTCAGGTATGAAGGGTAATTTGCTTAGTTGACTACTCCCCGGACCTTTGACCTAAAACCCTAATACACAAAGCAGTACAACAACATTACATGATTCAGTTCCATTTTAGCCGGTCACCGGAATGAGTACTTACACCATTCTTTCTTTCCCTGAGGATCCTTAGCCTATGTACATCATCGTTTTGGAATCAGTGTTTCCCGATTTCTCTGGGTTGAACCCTAAGTACCCACTAACTCGGTTTACGATTTTAATCTCCAGGTGATTAATTCATCCAAGAATGATAGTTTGTTGTTTGACTCCTGTTCCGTTATGAACTTGATGTCATCGACGCAGGGAAACTGGAAACTCAAGTGTATAGTAAACCGACACATACAGATCAAATTCTCAACTACTATAGCAACAACCCAAGAGCTCACAAAATCAACTGCGTACAAACTATTCAAGAGGGCAAGGACACAACACAACACACTGGCAGCACGAAAGAATGAAGACAAATACCTGAAGACTGTCTTCCAAAAGAACGGCTACCCAATCAACTTAATCAAAAAGTAGCATCCGAACATATCACCAGAAAAAAAGTCAAGTACAGAAATCGACAAAAGGATCACCCTACCATACATAAAAGGTATATCAGAAATTGCAATGAGATTGCTGAAAACCTTCGGAATAGGTGTTGCGTACAAATCAATGCATGTGGACAACTGCGGACACTCATTTGACTGGAAAAATGTGGAAATCTTGCATAGAGGAAATTCTAAAAGCACCAGAGAATTTTCAGAAGCTTGGCACTTAAGTCAATCAGCAATCAACAAGCACATTGAAATCGACCCAACTTATCAATCAATCAGGAAAAGTATGCACAAACGTAGGACCAAAAGTCAAACTAATGGGAGATACAACCAAAACAAAAAAATGAACAATGACAGGTTTAAGGTCCACAAGAAGCAATCAACATTGAGGTCTACAGGACAAGTTGTGAACCACATATGGAGAAATTCGAACGCTTCACTTCTATCTGAAGTTTGTGCTGACGATATCGTTCAGAAGAACGATGAAGGTTCCATGACCAAACCACCCACCTCAGAGAACAAAACTCCATCAAAATCTGGTAGCCGGTAATCAACAATAAGTTCATACGCTATTTGTTCCCTCGGGACCCCGTAGTCCACGTTCACCATTGGTTTGAAGTGGGGGTTTTCCAACCCCCTAAAGTATATACTCCTCATCCCCCAACGCGGTTAAATCGCTGGACATTTACTTTGCGTCCTCTACATGTCATATACAACACTCATACCGCACCCACACAGAAATATATGTACATATAAAAGAACTTTTATGGAAATCATAATATTTTTGTTTCATTGTGACTTTCTTTAGTGAGAAGTTCTGAGACTAGGGTATAGAGTACTAGATAAATAAAAGAATTCGATTAATGAAGTAATAAATCTTCATATACTGAGGTGATTGATGTATGCATGTCATATATGCATTAACCAGACCACCTATCTCGATGATCGGGATTCACATGATTATTGTAACCAATTATTAGAGACTTTGGATGAAATGATTCAGAATCGTCCAAGATATTCCAGACAAACACATTCGCTCTTTATCTTCTTTTAGAACTGGAGTCCTGAAATTATTTTAAAACCATTTTTCTTCTATACTTTGTCTTTCTTGATATTATTGATATTGTTACTATTTAGTCTAGGATTTGTCTTGAAATAAGTTTACCTCGTTGTGTGATATGGCAACTTAAATCGATGATACTAAGTTGCGTATGACTGACTGACTGACTAACATCTTAACCTTCATGACTTATAGTTGAAGGAGACGTTGTGTAACACGTTCTAAGATTATTTAATGATCTAGATCTATTCGACTCTAATTTTTCAAATGATCTTATACATTTTTATCCCAGAAATTCATTCTTTCTCGAATCACACTGTTTATACCTTATGTAAGATATGTATTAACAGTTTTGTCTTACTATATTGATATGATGTAACAATATGAATTGATATATACATGTACATTAGGTTCCATGTGACTTAGGGCTGACTACTGACTATTTCATTATACATAATCGAATAATATCACTATACTTTGTACTGAAAATCTAGCTGAATATCAAATATCACATATGTGTACTTAGTAACTACATTCTCTTAATTACAAGCTGTCATACAAAAAAATGAGAGTAAAGGAAACTGTATACTTCGTTATTAAGTTTTTTTTTAACGTTGAAGATTTCAACGATCTTAATACTGTGACTTCATTTTATAACTGTTCCTTGTAATTTTTTTTCTATTTGAAGTTTTTGACGACTTATTGGCATTAGATCCTCTTTTGGAGAAAGATTCCGTCAGTGGTAGTACTACTGCTACTACTACAAAGATACCAGTGAATAATCCCCCTACATCGTTTAATAATTCACTGCCTCCAGGTTTGTATGGATTAACATCATTATTATTCGTTCAGTTAAGCTGTAGTTAATTCTTGCCTATATTTGTTCCTGGAGTGATTATTGTCTACTATTTTACAGTTTCCTTTTGTTCGATTAAACAAGTAGATAGACTCAACAGGGATTTATGATCTAACCTAGATTGGATATGTTTTCTTGGATAACATCAAGAAAATTATTGAATCTATTAAGAAGGTTTACATCTTTATCATTAAGTGTTTTAATGACATACATAGATGTTATTAGATTTTATAGTTGAATTCATGAGTCAATTGAAGCTAGACCACCATGGAAAACCTTAAAGCACTGAACGGCCGTTTCGTCCTAGTATGGGACACCTCAGCAATGCGCATCCACGATCCCGCCTCGTAAGATTCGAAACCCATGACCTAGCGGTCTTGTGCGTGAACGCTTAACTTTTAAACCACTGAGCTGGCATCCAACGGTGTTAATATATAATTGCGCCATCGTCCACCATTGTCTTTGGTGAGTTACTAACTCACAATAGACTCGGTTGAACTCCACTGGTGATTGCTTCTCACTAGAACTCTAGGAAAATACCTCTTGAAGCCAGATTGTTTTTTCTAACTATAAAATTGAAATTACATAGTTCGAGGATATACTTTCAAAACGTTTCGTATCATTGATTGTTCACAATTATGCAACAGTGTAATATGTTAATCATTCAATTGAATAGATACATTTTACACTCATACACATACACATACACCCTGTTGATTAACGAATTTTCATCTGTTCTAAGATCTATTGTTTGCTAACCACTAAGCTACCAACCCGTCATGATCAATTTTAAAGCCTGAAACAAATGCTTATTAACCCAAGTTTCCTTACGGTATTAGCCATAACTAAATGAAATCAACCAGTGGGTTTAAATGATGGTAATGAAGTAATGTCAGCTTGTCTTTATCTTGGTTACAAACAGAAATAAATGTGATTATAAATAACAACCAGGGGCGGTTTACAACTTATTTATTCATTTAAAAATAAACATTGGTTTAAGGAGGCACCAAACAGATAAGCGGCACATAAATCATTCGATTTGTGTGAGGGCTGGGATACTGTCCGGGTGCGGGTGGTTTTCTTAGAGGACCACACTCCGAGCCTTCGACCTAAAGCTCTAATTCATAATGAAGTAGAGCAACGTTAGGAGATGCAGTTCCAAAGTAGCCGGTAACCAACAGTAGGCTCATACGTTAATTGTTGTCTCAGGATCCCGGAGTTCACGTGCATCATTGGTTTGGAGTGAGGGTTTTCCAACTCACTTAGGTGGACCCTCCGTGTCCACCAACCCGGTAAAGCGCTGGATATTTGCTTTTCGTCCTCTCGATTTCGTATATAACAGTAATGCCGCGAGAAGGCAGTGAGTAGGACTTCCTATGCAGTGACTGTATAAGCGTGGTTAATTGAGAGCATTTGGAGAGGAAGAGCGGACTCTCCTCACCCTCTTCCTTACCAGGGTATTTGGGGGCTAAATTGATATATAACTGAATCTCAAATTATTCGATATCGCATGTGATATGTCTGAATAAAAGCCAATTCAAGGTATTCTACAAGTGATCCTTCTCGACCTAGTTTTTGTGTTGGTGTTTGTCAATATGCTGTACTTGAAATTTTAAAACAGTGCTTCTAGTGGTGTATTGACTATCTAACTCAAACAATGAATCGCCATAAAGAATGTATCGGAAAATATTAACCTTCAATACTATGATATCTATCTACACATTCTAACTCAATCATACATAACTTAGAACCCAGCTGAGTGGCTCGATGAAAATATATTCACGATAAGTCTTGACTAATTTAGATTTATTCGTTTGCAAGGTCGTAGGCGCGTGTCACTTCTGTAAGGAGTTGTGTGCTGGGACAAAACAGTTGTCTACTGCACGTTGTATGATATTTAAATTGGCACCACATTCGTGGAAAATTGCTGATTTAGTTAGATTTTTTGCTCATTTTTTCACTTCCCAAATATTTCCTCTTATTAAAACTCAATACGCTATTGTTACTAAGCACAAAACTTATCTCTGTTTACTGTTATAAAAGGTTTAAAACCTGTTCCTTCAACTGTTCCAATACGTCCTGCTGTTGTTATGTCCGCATCACAAAACAAGAATCCACTTGATGCATTAGACAGCACCTTGTCAAATTTGGCTTCAAGTCTAGGGGGTCAGCAAACCTGGGGCTCTACTAACTTGAAGGTACGTTCCCAAAGTGTTATATATATATATATATATATATATATATATATATATATATATATATATATATATATATATATATATATATATATATATATATATATATATATGCATACCGGATTATGTCTATACCTTACTGCTTTTTGTCTGTTCTTACTGTTTCACAGAAGAAACCACTGGCTGAAAGTGAAAAACCAACGGTAAGAACATCTTATATAGTAATTATTCTTCATAGTTCCGTTTAATAAAAGACCATCTTAGATTCTCTGGATTAGTTGTCTCTGTTTATCCATTGTTGATTTTGACCTCAATCATTATGTTTCTTATAATCTCTAGTTTTTTGAACGTATACACATACTTTTCTCGAAGTAATTCTGGATTATTCATATATCAGCTTAACCAATGTTATTAATCTACATGGCTTATCTACCTGTATCATTTACGTCATGGACTGATGCTAACTGCTTTTCGACATCAAATACATCGGAACAAATGTTTCGGCTTAATTCAAAGTCCTCAGCTGTGCATGCCGACTCTTCGACATATGGTGGCCGTACCATGAAATCCTATAGTCCCGTAGTCAGAAATATAGCTTCATATTTCTGTACTCGTATCATTTGCCCTCGGTTTTCCAAATTCGAACTAAGTTATACCAGCTATTTAACTGAATGATAATTTTCTGTCTCATAGTTCCTCTATAGAGGTCAAGGATTGATGTCTACGACGAAAACTACCTTCAATCTAAATATCTTAAATATCCCACCCAGAGAATCAACATATTTTCAATGACTATTGACTTCTATGTTGATTTTGATCATAATATAGACAGGCGACTGATCATATTTAATCATGTCCGAGAATGAGTACAGCTTTTTACCAGCACTATCGGATAGTCCTTTGTTTTGTTTGAAATAGATAGGTTAAAATTATGGAACGATTATGCAGTCTGAAGATTACCTTAGTTGCCATGATACCAGTAGGTATAGATGAGTTCGAAACTGGTATGACAAACAGTTTCCTGGTGTTCTATTCCTATGAGAAGGATTATTCCGATTCATTTTAATTCGCATGGAGAATATATGCTTTGTAATGAGCAAACTTTAAAAAGTTAATGTACTGGCACTCAATCTTTATTTGGTTGCTTCCAAATTCTTCTTCAGTTCGACTATAATTTTGTTTGTACTTACTTACTTAAGTAAGTAAGTAAGTAAGTAAGTAAGTAAGTAAGTAAGTAAGTAAGTAAGTAAGTAAGTAAGTAAGTAAGTAAGTAAGTAAGTAAGTAAGTAAGTAAGTAAGTAAGTAAGTAAGTAAGTAAGTAAGTAAGTAAGTAAGTAAGTAAGTAAGTAAGTAAGTAAGTAAGTAAGTAAGTAAGTAAGTAAGTAAGTAAGTAAGTAAGTAAGTAAGTAAGTAAGTAAGTAAGTAAGTAAGTAAGTAAGTAAGTAAGTAAGTAAGTAAGTAAGTAAGTAAGTAAGTAAGTAAGTAAGTAAGTAAGTAAGTAAGTAAGTAAGTAAGTAAGTAAGTAAGTAAGTAAGTAAGTAAGTAAGTAAGTAAGTAAGTAAGTAAGTAAGTAAGTAAGTAAGTAAGTAAGTAAGTAAGTAAGTAAGTAAGTAAGTAAGTAAGTAAGTAAGTAAGTAAGTAAGTAAGTAAGTAAGTAAGTAAGTAAGTAAGTAAGTAAGTAAGTAAGTAAGTAAGTAAGTAAGTAAGTAAGTAAGTAAGTAAGTAAGTAAGTAAGTAAGTAAGTAAGTAAGTAAGTAAGTAAGTAAGTAAGTAAGTAAGTAAGTAAGTAAGTAAGTAAGTAAGTAAGTAAGTAAGTAAGTAAGTAAGTAAGTAAGTAAGTAAGTAAGTAAGTAAGTAAGTAAGTAAGTAAGTAAGTAAGTAAGTAAGTAAGTAAGTAAGTAAGTAAGTAAGTGAGTAAGTAAGTAAGTAAGTAAGTAAGTAAGTAAGTAAGTAAGTAAGTAGTTATTTCCAATCCCATTCCATTTCGGCAATATTAAATAAAATAATGCCTTTAGAGGAAATCCGATGTTTTCGTGTAATTGCTGTAACGTATAATAAGAACTTTTGACAGTTTACTGACGTTTTATTTCATCTGCATTCGACAACATGTCAATCGACAACAACCACAATCAAGATTTCGAAGCGACTAAACGGAAATTAAACATCAATATGCTATCTTCCTTTACACTTCCCACCAAACAAAAAGTTCACAATCCTTTTCACCAATTCTGTGTTTCGGGATAGGTTTCTGAGGACAAAAATGAGCCACGTGAATACTCAAGCACTTAGTGCTGCTTCTCACACTTCCTGATGTACAAGGAGAGAGTATGAATTACTGTAGTACCCGTATTCACCCTTCCTACCTTATCTCTTCGTTAGCTTCTCAGCACAACAATGGAGAGTCCACTTATCCGACTGCAAAACCCTTACCACCAACCGCATCATCATATCTCGATCTTGATATTTACACTATACCTTTATCTGTCTTGTCTGTGTAACCTAGGTCACTTAGCCATACAGTTGATCTTCACAATTTCTTGTTCATCCGTTTCACTCCCTTGTTGCCTGATGATGATAGCCTCGCTAACTGTGGCTGATTACAGTAGTCTCTAATGCAAAATCGAATGTTGACAAAAGCCCATTAAACCTATTTATATAAGCATTGACGTGTTTCTCTTCGCACTCCATAAGTTCTCTTAAGATGTCTATCATGTGATCTTTTCTCCACTTGTCCTATCCTGAAGCCTACTTGTCATAGGGAGCTCTTCTTACCTTTCTACATAATCCCCATGCATGGATTCCCCAGTTTCCATTATTAATACAGTTGACTCACATCATTCCTACCATCACGGTCACGTCAATCTTGGCTTCTTAGACAGAAACCTTGTCACTGACACTTCTTTATTCACTTTCTGTAACTCTTGAATAATGTGAAACTATTCATAGATATGAGCAGTAACATCTCATGGAAATGATCTGAGGACGCCTTTGATAAATACTGAATTTTTAGTCTAATTACTCATATTATTGTCTTTATTTGAAACTTTAAGTAGCTGAGATGCTACATCCGATGTGTTCATACATACTACCGAGATCCATAATAAAAACTGTTCACTCCTAACGCTAGACCATAATATAAATTGCTTGATTCATTGTTTGATAACTGTCATACCTATACATAAAATAGACATTAATTTCATTATTGTGTCTGTAGTTGCACCGATTACACTCAGGTGATACAACAACATAAAAAACTAACTTGTTTATTTTCAACCAACTTTAATACATCAGATTTTTTTTTCTAAGTTCTATAAGATGAAAGCATTAAAGTCCATTTTCATTATTAATGTTAATAGCAATGTAGTCGAGTTTTACATTTGATCAAGGTTAATTGTCTTATTGTATGATGAATTTTCGATAAATATCAGGGTTTTTCATGTATTTGGCTTTAAGACGAATTCATTCATTTATTTAAACCCATAAGCATTGGTACAAAGGGGCACCAAATACATATGGGCCACACAAATCATTCTGTTTATGTGTGGCCTGAGATACTACCCAGGTGCCGGTGACCAGCGCTTGGTTCATACGCCATTTGCTTCCTCAGAATCCTGGAGCCCATGTGCACCATTGGTTTGGAATCAAGGTTTTCCAGCTCCCTTAAGTGAATCCTCCATATCTACCAACCCGGTTAAAGCGTTGGACATTCGCTTTTCGTTCTTTCAATTTCGTAAGAAACACCCGTAGTGCGAGAAGACTGAGTAGGACTTCCCATGCAGTGAGGGAGAGCGGACTCTCCTCGCTCTCTTCCGTACCAGGGCATTTGGGGGCAAGACGAGTTCAACCTTAAATTATACACTATTAATCGATTATTCAGAGTTTATTACATTATCACAGGTATTAATTTCATTATTATCGTTTAAACCAATTAAGTATCTGTATTAGCACTATGAAAATCACATTTAATCACCGTGTTGCTTTGTACCTGTATACTTTAGTAATAGATGACAAATCTGGGATTAGTGTTTCCTCATTTTACAATCTTTACTTGTGTCTACCCTTCAAACATCATAACACACAAGTATCTCTTTCTTATAGCGTCCATTTCACAATACTAACGAATTCGCTACCTGTCCTAAACCATGAAGAAAACTAAAAGAAAATCAGAATGGAGGTTTGTCGAAATTGTAGTGGTTTAATAGTTGAATTCATAAGTTGATTAAAGCTAGATCACCATGGATGCGCATTGCTGAGAAATCCCATATTAGGACGTAACATCTGTCCAGTGCTTCCAGATTTTCCATGGTTGTGTAACTTTAATCAACACATGAATTCAACTATTAAAAGAAAATATGTTAAGTGTTACAAATACATACCCCATGATAGAATCAAATGTCCATTCTACATATAAATGGTATACGATTTTCAATTTAATATTTTTTATTAATCTCACATCGTTCTATTTGTTTTCGAATTGTAGTGAATTTCTATGGATCATGTGAAGTAGAGAATTCTCAGAAAGAATACTATTATCTCATTAAATATATACATATACTTATATCTCTTATATAACCTTTTTTCTTCATTATATATTTAACAGAATCTCCTTTTTGTTCCTTACACTTTTTGTTGTTGTTGTGATAATTTTTGTGCATTTATGGCTTGCTGATTATCTTCCCATTATATCCATGTTTTCTTTTTCCCCTGTTAGTTTTCGTTATCTTCATGAATGCTTTACTACACCAACTATGTAATTCTAGCATTTAAAGAAGAAAAAAACGCATTAATATTTCTCTTACAATTTTAGTTCATCATTTAATACATAAAAGTATCTTTATTATTGATTCTTCAGTTCTAACAGTGTTCTCTGAAATGATCACTTTTATTCGCTTATGATTATTTAAAAGAAAGATTTATTTCAAACAAAGGACGAGTTCTGTTTTGTAGAAATTCAATAGAGTGTAGTTACGTGTTAGAACACAAAATAGTTCGACATCTTGCGTTCTAGTTACGTCGAGAGCTCCACCTTTGTTATGGTTCATCTTTAACTAGTGCATCCGGCTTCTATTTTGGTATTGTCATGACTATAAATTTTATGGGCGGATTCATGTGTAAGAAGTTGTTTAATGGGCTATAGGTTATTGGAACCGAATACAAAGTAATAACAAAAACCAGAAACTGTATTTGGGTTATTCGGGGTGATGCTAAGTCGTGTCCATTGTTAATATGGTCTGCTGCGCAACGCGTTCAAGTTCTCTCGATATCACTGGTAGCCTTTACTTAGGAGTTAGTCAACCGTACTTAGTGCGGATACTTATGCTCTGACATCTCATAAACTTTTAAAGTAAGCATGTTTGACAATGATCTACCAGTGCTGTACTTTTGGATTTACAGTGTTGGTTTGTATGCACAACCATTGAGTGTACATCATCATTAGCGGTTCTCATTTATCAGTTATATCCTCGCCTAAATGAAGCTTAGATGCTTGAGATCCTTAGTTGCTGGTTTTCCAATGGGCACGCATGTTTTTAAATATTTTTAACTGTCATCTTAAGATCAGACACTAGGAGTGAGATAATTCGCACTAATTTAAAGCAAAATAGACGCTGCGTGCACCCATTCGAGATATGCTCTTCAATAAAGTTTCTGTTTGCTGAATTTTAGTCCTTGCTTTGTATACCGACTTTTATTTGGGGTTTGTGAAAACGTACTCCGTGTTTCTTAATATTTTGTTACTTTTGGTTAGTATTTGCTATTCTTTTTATGTTTTTTATGTATGATATCGGCTGCTCTTGATAATTGAGTTGGTTCTGTCAGACAGAAGTTTCCACATCATCTTGTAGGTAGTATCATTGCTTACTCTAAGGCACTTAACGGTTGTATTTAACAGCATGTCTTTCATATTACGTCACTTTGTACGATACATACTTTAGAGTGTTTAGTGGGTCATCTGTACTGTTAGGGTATTTTGTATTATCGATATTATTTGTTATTGAAATTCTGTCTTGATATTTGCTGTCCACTGAAACCATTATGCTAAGTTTTGATTGAGTTAAATCTCCACAACTAAATCGATTACGGAGGATAAAAGAAAGAATTTACTAGGAAAAAATATATTGAATTTCGTGTGCTATATGGTCTAATATACCTAGAGATTCGACGTCTGGATTCTATATCTACTCAGAACCTACTATATTGTGAAACTTAAGTGCGTGGAAACTGTTTAAAGGACTTACAGGTGACAGGTATACTAGAAGCGATAATAAGCCGAATGCTTATGACTTAAACAAGTCTTTTGTACGTCAGTCATCTGATGTCATGCTCCCTATATCTAAAGTTTTGAAGAACAGTTGTGTTCCTACTTTCACTAAAATTGATGTCCGAAAATGTTCTGCGTTATCTACTTACGAGTATCTTTATTAGAGGAAAATTTTCCTTCTGCCCACCACTTGATCCTGTGTCATAAGCTCACAGTATAGATATTCAGTTAAACTCTATAATGTGTACGTCACATAACTGGTTCTAAGAGTTTAGAGAAATTGTTTGGTGGGATTCTCGACTTCCGATGTAGGAAATAGGAAGCAATGCTTACATTGGAATACTTTGTGGGATAATTAACGCTCAATCGATGTACTAGATTATCCGACACAGGCGGAATAGATTGCGCGCATCGAAAAAAATCGAAATTTTAATGTAATAAGACACTGAAAAAGTAATTTCATGACACTCGAACTTACAATGTTTGAGTTAGAGAGAGGCCACTCGTAAATTCCCAATAACTGACATTTAAGAGAGTCAAAATAGTTTGTAGTGACTCATATTTATCACGAGAACACGACTGGTTTAATAAAAACAATTATTATTATAACCAAGTGTACCAGTGACTGTTTTAATGTGCTTTTGTTTGACTGTGCTAATGACAGCTATTTTTGTGCTTCCATTCTTATACTTACACTTTGATTGTAACTTCGCGCGAATTCGGTTGCGTTCTGTAACCAAGCTTGTATCCTGGCACGATCTCGGTATCCTTTCGATGCCACGAGATCGCCAGCAAATAAACATCGACTTGGTCCATTAATTGCCTTCTGGTATTCGGCTTCTCGGGGATTTTATGGAGTCATTTGGAACGAGCTTCTTACGCCTTCTGATCTATTTGGCACGTATATCTTGGTAGCGGTGTTCATAGTTAATCTCAACTCGACGCCACGCTACAATTGGTAATCCCAATTCGACTACAAGTTCATGGAGTTCAGGTCTATCGCCGTTTTTATTGCATTTATTTATGCTAAAAACGAGCCAAATACCAAATTGTTGACTAACCATGATGTGACTGTTCATTCTGTACGATGTTATTTCGATTCATCCCATTAACTATCGGATATTACCCTATCTCAGCTGTAAGCTTTTCTGTGACATATAAACACGTTTGGTAAAATAACGTACTGAACATAAAGACGAAAGTGATACGCAAGGATTTTTGATAACGTTCCTGCTCTAAACTTGTAGCATGTTATTCTAATCCGTATTTTAATGCCCGAACGTGAAACTTTCATGTTTATGTAAAGAGTTGCGTTCTTATTGTTTTTGGTGTTTCTTCACTGTCACTACAGAACTACCGTTATGGTAGGAGACTTCTGATCGCGAAAATATAGGACAAACCCCTGAATAAAGGTATGTGGTTGATCAAGGTAATGTCTAGTGGCACATATAGTAAATTCATTAAACAATGTAAACTTTATTGGGGAGTGCACGGTAGACCTAGGAAGGGAAGGTAATTAAACACGACAAAGCCGAATGGCAGATTTATCATGAACTCATGAAGTTTTTCCATCAATCCTGCAAGTTTTGAAACTTAGGAGCTCTTTCTTCCACTAGTAATCTTGTATTACTTCAACCACCAACATTACTCAGAGGGCTGTTCCTAATTTTCATAGTTATATGAAACCTTTTACAATGTCGAAATATTTTAATACAATTACCTTTTGGTTAGTTGATCTAGAAATTCTTATCTGATGTATCCTGAAATTGCGAAATTTACTGAGGATGACGGCCTAGTTGTCTAACGTTCAACCGCGAAGGTCGCAAAGTAGACTATTTCTGGATGCTACGATACAAAGCAACAACTAAACTAGTTCTTAATCGGAAGCTTTTACTCATTTTTTAGCGGTTCCATCCATCTTCACTTCGAGTGAAAAAATAATATTTCTTCTTATATTCCCTAAGGGTATTATTACTTTCAATTGTTCTCAAGTACGTTCTACAAAATCAATATTATTTGCAATATTTGACGAGGAATTCGTGAAAACAATAAAGGTATCTGACCTAGAATAAAGTACGTTCATCAGAAGACAAATGATTACCTAATACCAAAAACGTGTGCTGTAAACACCCTCTAAACTCATTTGGCTTTACTTAAAACATTTATAATCGAGTGAAATCAACATCCCTGTAGATCACTAACGTACTATTAACTCTTTCGATTGATCAAATGCTTCCTGAATTTGGTCGGGAATGATACGAAAAACCAGGAAACGTTGAAGTCACATCTCGCAGTTGGTATATAACGTAGATTACCCTTTCGTTGAATCCAGGTACTATGGTTGGTCTGATGGCTGTACAGCACAAAGGACATTATAGTACTAGATTATTAAGATTAGGCACAAAAAACAAATTGAGACCATCAGGGCATGGACCAATCCATAACGTTCAATGAATTGACGGGCATTAGTTGGTTTCGGCGTTAAAGTTAACTGGCGAACAACTCGACATTCAGTGACCCAACTTGGGATGATTTAGCTGGAGCCCAGTGACATTTCACTAACCCCACAAACCAATATCAAGTATAGTCACCTTGCAATCTTATTCTATGTGATTTGTGCGACTCAACCGGAGTCATGAAGGGTGATATTAGTTACCTCTTCAAGGACTGAACATAATACCTCATGCTAACTTACTGTCATTATCTGTGTCCTAGAGATAGGGTGTTAGTAATCCATAACTGTTAAAGACACATAACTTAAAAGCAGCTACTTTGACTCCATCTCTATCCACTTTTAATGGTTCAGGTTGTTATCCCTTTCCTCGAACAGTTTTCAATGTGATAGACCACCCTTCAGTAAGTGCTTTCAGATAAAATGCAGGATTTGATCGATGACCCAGATGAACAAGTTGGTTTAAACTAATTTACACTTTATTTTCGTGCAATTGATTTATATAGTTAACAAATCTTTATGATAAATGTTATGCCCTGCCTACATAGATTTTGTTATAATGTGTTGATCATGTGGACCTGTTTCTAGTGTAACTTTTGGTTTGGAGTCATTTAGACTATTTTGTCTGATTATCGTTTTCCTAATGAATATTTCTTGATTGATGGAAATATTTATTATCAATTCATAATCTTTTTTGACATTTTGCTGTTTTTAAATCTTCGAAATCCTATGATCCAGCTATTTAAAATGAAGACTCCATACTTTAATGCAA